TCTCCCCCCCCCCCCCCCCCCACACACACACACACACACACTTACCAAAAAAAATATTGTTTTGGTCATTATATAGAGGGAAAGTGTCCACATAATCCCGATTCCCGATCATTCGCCAAGTAGTCACTGGCAAGTAGTCGCTCGTAGAAGCGAAACAAAGCCATACAAAAACGAACTGACTGCGAAATGGGCTGCTCTGCTCAGTCAGTGGCACGGACACACCGCACTGGCGGGCCACCGCCGGCCCTCCCTTCCCCTTCCCCGACCTCCGCCTCTGGTTCATCGACCGGCGACGAGGAGTACCGGAGTACCGGTACCCGACTGGTCCAGAAGAGGCAGCAGCAGCAGGAGGCCCCTCTCCCTCGCGAGTGACCGTGGTGCCTTCTTGAGCCATCCTCTCCCTCTGGTCCCTCCTCCGCGCCCGCACGGGGGGGCTCTCCTCTGGACGGACCTTGCGTGGAAGACGTGCGTCTCCGTAACGGATTGCATTGACATCGTGGGAGATATCTTCCTGCCGTCGCCTTCCAGGAGCACAGCCGGTGAGTGGCGTCGCTCGTGATGTGCGTGAAGACGTAGAGCAGCGTGTCGTTTCCTCTGCTGCGCGTGATGACGTGTATAGATGCTGGGCCGTCACAGTCCTGGTCGTTTTTCTTATTTTTTTTTTATAAGTTTGTTTTTACTGTGGTCGTGTTTTGCTTGGTTCGGCTTTTGACGTCCGTGAACCGACGTCCGTGATGTGGGGAATTGGGACGCAGTGTCGGTCGATGTCATTCCCTCTCTTCGAATTCACCGAGTTCCTTCTGCTAATCCGTGAAGAGTTCGAACCCCAAGTAGTTTTTTGATCAAAAGTTTTCTTAGGAAAAAAAGAAGAAAAAAAAAAAAAGGAAAAGAAAAGAAAAACGTTTCAATGTTTTACCGAACAGCGAATGTGTTCAGTGACTGAGCTGAAATTCTTGTCATGGTATTTGAGCTCTGTCCTTTTATTTCTTTTTATCGTAACCTCGTTCGGCGCTCACTTTCGTCGTGACTTTGGACGCTTCTCCCATTATAACGTGCTATTTTGACGTTTCGATGGGATCCTTGCGCTGGTGCACCCCAGCACGGTGTTTCCAAACGATTCCGCTTTGCCCGCCACCAGGTGTGGGCACTACCCGTGCGCGGAAACCAAATACGAGAAGGGTGAAGTGTTTTGCGCATGCGCACAGTACCGACGGCAGCGCCACCGCAGTTGGCGTGACGTCAGTGAGTTCCGAGGGAGCCAATCGAACAGGGTAAAAAAAGTGCACTGTCACGGCGACCGCTCGTCTTTGTGCGTTCTTTTTTTTTATGAAAAACCAAACCGTTTGCGCGCAGAGAAAAAGAAAAAAAAAGTGAAGGATCACGGCGCATTGACTGTCATTGATTTTGTCGGCGACATTTGATAGGAGACGCACAAGAACGACGAACGCCGTGACGGTGCACTTTTTTGGCTCCAGGCAGCGTGGACTGCGGTCGGACGGAGCGTGACATAATACGAAGCGCGACCTTGACACGAAGAGAGGTGTGTGCGGCATCCCGGAACAGGACCCCAAAGTCTAGCGCGCACAAATATTCCCACAAAAACCCGTGCCTGGCGTGCGAAAGGGGGACTTTCTTCCTTTCCACCAGCTTCCCCCACTTCCTCTTGTCCGTGCCTCGTTGCTTGGCTGTCTCCTGCATGTATGCCCCATTGTATCTCGACCCCTACCCATTCAGGCTCTCTTCTTCTTTTTTCCTCCGTTTTCCACGAAACTTTTTTTTTTTTCTTTTTTTCTCGTTATCCCTGCCTCCCCCGCCATCCTTGTTTTATTTATGTTTTTTCTTTTTTTTTCGATCCTTACCCAGCCACTCTTCGTTTTCAGATTTCCCTTTTCTTCAAAGAGGCTCGGGAACTGAGAAAGAAAGAAAAGTAAAAAAAAGTAAAGGGGTAGATTGTCAAGATGGACTTTTCCAAGGAATAGGGGATAAAAGCTTCCATGCGTGCACGGATTTTACCATAGCATGTAAGAAAAATAAGAGAAAAAAAACAAAAAACAAACGAGGTTATATGTTTTGTACCTTTTTTTCTTCGCCGCTTCGCTAAGCCAGGCTGAGCCAAAATCTGGAATTTTTGCGGCATCGAGGTACTAGCTTCTGCACAGAGTAGGTGCTTCGCGGGTTTCCAAAAGCCGACGCAGTAGGTTTCGCTGTACTGCAGCCCCCCCCCCCCCCCCCCCCCCAATTAAAATAAATAAATATATATATGCATGTATGTTTATATGTATGTATTGTTAGCGCAAAAATAAGCTACGGATAGGCCGGGTGAGCTAGCGCACACCAGCCACGGAGCACGTGGAGCGAAAGCTCGCGCTGCAGAACCCAGGGATCTTGGGTTCGATCCCCACCCCTGCCCGTCTCGATCTGGGTGCGCATCGTATCGGCGTGCGGTCGTTTGTATCACCACTGCGTGCTGATACAGCGAGTGAAAACATGACATTTAATATGGGTGTATCCCTTTCTTGCCTAGACTTTTAAACAATGTTAGTTTTGAAACTTTCCCATGTGGTTCGGACCGCTTGAGTAAGCGGAGAAAGAGCGTTCAATAATAAGTTGTTCATTATTGCACGAAAAAAAACAACAAAACAACGTGTGTGTGTGTGTGGGGGGGGGGGGGGGGGGGGGGGCAGTAGTGAGACAATTCGACCTGTCCCAGTTATTTATTACCTGCCCCAGACATTCGGGATGCCCTTAAAACGAAAGAAGCCTTCCTCGAACAGAACATTCTCTTTCGTCTCTTTCGCCACGTACTGTACGTTGCCAACGTGTTCGTCAACAAGAATGCCAACAGGCCCAGCTGCATTCTTTCGGCTCTAGGACCTTCTGCGAGCAGCGAGCGAGGAGGGACAGGAAGGGCGCTCCCGTGAACCTGAACTTCCTGAAAGACGCCCTTCCCCTCTCAGCTTTCTGGGTCACTGGGCTGAAAGGTGGCGGTGCCTCTCACTCTCTCCAAGTCCGGGTTTCTCTTTCCCGCTCCCCTCACCCTCCACCCGTCTCTCGTTTCGTTCGAGTTACGCGCTTATGCGGTGTTACGCAAGACGAAGAAATAAAAAAAGAAGAAAAGTCTGCAGCAAAGAAGGAGGCTACACTCTGTGGCCTTTGCCGCTTTGGGGACCGTTAGCCGGACGGATGTTGGACGAATGAGAGTTCTTGTGTCACTCCGACCGTCGGCATACTCCGTTTCATGTTAGGAAGGACAACAGCGAACGCTAGCGGATAAAAGTTTGATCATCCGTATTCGATCCGTATCCGCAGACTTCATATCCGCGTCCGAACCGCATCCGCAAAATTCAGAACCGCATCCCACCCTCAATCCGAGCATTCCTTTTAGATCACGAAACCAAGCATGAATATAAATTAAAGAAAAAGAGCATCCGGATGGTATCATATAAGTCATCTGCTTACATTTGTACGACAAACTCTTCGTCAGAATACGGTGAAAGTCATTTTATCGTGTTCCGTTTTATCCTATTTATAAAATAAGCGATTATCCTTCCAGATACACTTCGCATCGCTGGAAAGAGGATCGCAGTTATGAGATCGTCTTGAGGTTCCGTGACACTGACACTCTGTCCAGAAGACGCGCTCGAAGGGAATGACATTTTAATATTTATCTTAATTTCTTTGCTTTGTAAAGCCCACTACAAGCAGACACCTATTTTATAAACGTGAAAATTAATAAATGGCAGACTAACAACATTGTGTCATTTTACTGAGGCCAAACAATAAAAAGGGGGAAGAGGAAAGGCGCTCACTCCCCGCTGCAAAGTACTCGTGTATATGGGGTAAGTCGCGAGTACATCACTGGAGAAAATATCACAATAATAATGGCAACAACTCCTCTCGGTTTCAGTTTTGAACGCAAACACTGAATTGCATGCGAGAAAAAAGAAAACGCACACATAGGCAGCGTTTCACTTGTCGAAGTTGCTGCGTATACAAGAAACAGAATATCGTCAACATGGACGAATTAAGACTGGTCTCTTTCCGTTGATGCACTTGATGCTGGCACGGCATGCACGGACTGCGATACGAGAGTGAGATGCGGAAAGCTGTGCTGGCGCAAGTTCCACTAGTCCAGAGGATCGAATTCAGTCTCTCCGACCTACTTGTAGGCGAAGAAGCCACTGGCGGCTCTTGTGGTTTGTCCGTTTTAGGTTTTCTTTACCCAAAGAATATTTTCTGCTCTTTCCCTGCCCATACAAGAACACACTTTCCAGGGACGACTGATGCTCCCGCATTCTTTGCTTTTTCTAGGGACAGCCTTTTTGGCGAGATAGGACGTTCTAATGCGATCTTTGATGAGAATCAAGTCTTTCTTGATGTAAAGCTCATTTTTCGCCCCGATGGCACCCTTTCATCTAAAAACCTCTTAGTATCACTTACTCAGTCACTCTACACTGAGGGGTCGCACACGTTTATGGGCCGCCTCGGCAAAAAATGTAGATCCGGACCCGCGGATATCCGCTTCCGATCCGCATCCGCAGCCCCTGGCGTCCGTATCCGAACAGCAATCCGCCAAATCTGATTTATTTCTATCCGCATCCTCCAATTTATTGCGGAAATCCGCGGATGATCCATGGGTAATCTGCGGATATGCAGAGCTGTAACACTCAACATGCTGAGAGCAAGTCGTCTTCTTCTTGCGTAGGGGTTGTGGTGACGTCAGAGCGACGCCGAGTTCTGATTGGCTTTGATTGGAAGAATAGTGGCTAGACCTGAATGCTAGATGCCTTGAGTGGAGATGCACGCGCATTAGTAAGCGTGCATCTTCACTCCGTAAATATGTAATTATATCGAATGATTTACTTTCTGGAGTAGAGTTACGTATGTTACCAAAACGATTCGAAACTGCTCACTGATAGCACTGCACCGTGCTCATTTCTATCCAGCAGCCCGGTGGCAGGCGCACCTCAGAACCAACCATGTCCTCTTCCTCCATCGCGATGTCCCTGGCCATCTCAACGTTGTTATCGTCTTCACTGGTCATCTTCGTCCACGCCGAGGACACGTCCCGCCAGGACACGCTCGCGATGGCCAACGTCCTGGGCGACCTTTCCGGAAACACATCCGACCTTAGCATCGACTTCCGGAGTCTACGGAGGAACTCCAGATCAGTTCTGGACGCGGCCAGCGCGAGCCTCCTCGGAGCCGCGGCTGCGATGGGGCTCTTGGGCGTCGTCTACCCGATCCTGGCGTCCTTCGGCAAGGTTCCCAGCGGTCCCCACGAGAGGGTGATCTTCGGCAGGGGCCTCGCGGGACTGTCCGAGTTCGTGATGACGAGGGTGGACAAGGGTCTCGAGAAGTTCCCCAGCATCCCGAGCCTGGATCCACAGGAGTGCATGAAGAGGAGCGTCTGTGAAGCCCACAACCAGCCCAACAAGTACGGACTCATCGGACTGGCCCTGCAACTGCTCTATCCGTGAGTATAGGGCTGTCTTCTCTTTGAGGCTCCCTAGTGCGGCGGGCTATACAATCGGGCCGTCTGCAGACACTAGCCGGAGGCGTGTTTCAACTTTGTATGGCTGTCCTATCACATTGCAGACATGTTCGGAGCATAGATATGTATGAAGCAAGTGTAGTGTTTAGAATATTTACAAAAGCGGGTAAACAACCCTGGGTGGGGACTTCCGAAATGGCGTGAATGGATCGTAGTAATCTGGAAACATCGGCGTGTACAACACCACTACAACAAGCATACTTAGAACATGCGTGGGGCGCGTCCGCGGACAGTTCTCTCGTCATTTCGGCAGCGAACACTGTCTTTTGTATGATATATGAAGAGTGCGACCATGAGCGGCAAAAACGGGCGCCGCGCGCTGATTCCCAGAGCAAGCGTGTACCGCTATGCATTGGGCCACTATAAGCCCGCTAAATTTAGCGGATGTTTTTTTTTCGCTACACTTTTGTGGGAAGGGGGGGGGGGGGGGGGGGGGAGGGTAGCTCATGAACGCAAACAAACACTTGTCCTCGCAGTAGTGAGCACTCTTGAGACGGGTGTTTTGCAGGGGCAGATGTGGTCAGGCTGGCGTGCGCGCAAATTGAGATTGAACGTCTCGGACAGATGTGAAGTCACGTGATAAGTGTTTCCCAGATCTATTTTCCTTAGTTATTATTTGCCATTTAACCAGAATCTAAATACTGTCATCTTTAAATTAAAAAGAAATACTTTTTTTTTATAATTCTTTGATCTACACGCACTGCGTTTACTATAATCCGTTTAGGGCGTAACGACAAAATAAAACTTAATACAACTGCTTTTAAGACAAAAGCTTCTTTTTTTTTTTTTGCATTCGTCTGAAGAATTAAAAAAAAATGCTATGACCTGATTTATACAACTATCTTTTGATGGCAGTACACAATACTGCTCTAAAACCAAATTATTACTTTTTTTTTCTTTCTGTGGTAAGAACAAAGTCTGATTGTAGACTAACATGCTGTCTTGATTCAGTTTTTATATTGAACTCCGTAATAAGGCATTTGTGCTTTTCATTTATCTAGTTATTCTTTTTTTTTTTTTTTTTTTTTTTTTTGCTTTCTGCTATAGGTGGCTGGGCCTTGTCGAGTTGCGAATTTGCAGCTTTTCCATTGTTTAAATTTTTTTGCTTGTGAAGCAAATATTATTAACATTATTATTTAAAAAAAATAAAGAACAATTGCCCCCTGAGTGTTTGTCTGGACGGAGTCTCCGTTCATGGGAGTGTACTGTTTTGCGAAGGTCAGAATTTATTACAAACAACTTGACAAAAGGAAATTGTTATCCAGCAGGTGACATTTGTGACTTGTGGAGCCCAATCTTTTCGCGAGGCTTGGCGAGCCACGTGACACTTTCGTCAGCAACTTTCGCTAAGACAATGAAATTGCGGCATTGGCCGATAAGAACGCCAAAGGACCAATCACAATGGCGGATAATTAACTAAAATTCGTTAAGTAACCGAAGCACATGGTAAGGGCAGGAGTGCGCTAAAGTTAGCATTCGTGGCAACGCTAGCTGTCCGAAGACGCGGATGGTAAAATGGTACACCCTGTATGCAATTGCTCCGTGCGGTTCAGAAGCAATGATCGGTATGTAACGGACGCTGTCCATGTCTCACTTACCTGCAGTCCTTACTCGGCGCCCGACGAGCCAACGACGGTGGTGTCCAAGTATCAACTGGCCGCCAGGTACGGCCGCCAGGAGGACGCCGACTGCTCGAGACAGTACGACGGCTGCATCGTGTCTCCGCTCGAGATCATCCAAACCGTTGTCACCTACTTCCTCAGATAGGCCGCTCCGTATCATAGAGGGCGCTAGGATTGTGAGGAGGAACGATGGCGGGTGGTCCCTTTACGCCCTCATATTATCATTATTTTTAAGAATCTAGGATTGCGACATCTGACAGCGTGACAGGCCAGCTTCCGTGACGTCATTTACTGCCACTTCGGGAACATTCTTGGTGTACGGGCGGGATAGGACGCTAAACAGACCAGTCGAAGACGCGCTCCAAGCACCGCAATCAGAGTCCGGCAGAAGGCAACGACCGCCTGCTGGAGGCAGAGCATCATCTACTGGGTCGTTAACGTGTCACCGACCATGGTTTCTGTTCACTACGACGCGCGTTGACCCCGAACACTTGCGGTGCATGTGCGTAGACACCGTCGTTTGACAAAATGGCCGTCGGAGGGAACGGAGAAAAAACTGCGCATGGTTTTGGGCTTCCGTCATTTCTTGAAGTTGTCATCACCGAGGGCTTATCCTGTATCTCTTGGAGGCTCATTGCTGCAAAGTTACCAGAGACATATGGGCGGTCGGTGCGTGCAGCTGTAGTCGCTGACAGACCATGAAGGTGTCCTTTTGACGTTGTCTGATTGGTGATATCAGCTCGCAGCGTCGACTGCGTCTAAGGTTAAACTTAATTATAGATGTATGGGGGTTTAGAGAGATCATAAAATAGCATTTGCTGTTTATGTTGCCGCTGATTCTTTTGCTGCGCTTAAATTGTAAAGTTATACAAAACAGTCTTTTTTTACGTAATGTACGTATTGTTTTGCGGACGCCGAAGTTCGTCAGGTCCCCTCAATTGTGTTCTTGGCCCTTGGTTCGAAATTGTTGCGAATTGATGGGCTAAATTTGGGAGAAGTAAATTATTAGGAAAATACATGGTAGCCCCGATCAAAGCAAATGTATTCTTGGTGTTTTTTTTTTTTTTTTTTTGTGTTAATGTCTTTTTGGCGGTGGTAGGTCTTGCCGCCAGCTTTGTGGAGGTCAAGTTACCGTCGTGATATTTGGGTCCCACCTACCGTTCGGGATGGGCATTCTTGTTTTCGGGGTGAGGAATTCTTTCACTGTCCGTCCTGGTTGCTAGAAAAGTGTGTCATTGTCTTGGGGAGGTGTAGCGTCTGTTCAGTAATAGCTATACGCCGGAGAGAACAAGTGGTGCCATGTGTTGTTTATTTATTATGGGTGAGTCCAGCGACAGTTCGCAGCATTGTAAATAAAGCGTTTACTGAGTCACGACGACTGTGCTTCGTGGTAGTTTATTTCTTCCATAAAACGGATTGCATTGCTTGTAAAAAAAAAGACAAAAATTAAGAGGAGCGAAAGTAATTCTGAATTCCGCGGGGAGCGAATATGCGGCGAACAATCGACGAACCTAGGCCGGCGGTCACTGTTCAGAAGGATGGATGGATGGATGAATACGGCTGAGCCCTTTGGATCGGGCGGAAGCCCGCGTCGAGCGTACACCTCCTGGCGAAATTCGCCTCTTGTTCGCAGCATATTCGTTTCACGAAGTCGAGCATTTGGCTTTTGTAAATTTTTCGTCAATGTGCAAAACATCTGCTGTCGAATTTGCTCGTTCGAGCCCCTATCCCCTATCTGTCTACACCTTGTCGCGTGTACAAAATAACAACTGTCATGTCTGTGCCAGGTTCAAGTTGACAGGTACTATGTAAAGTTTTGATACTAACCGTATTACTTCGTGCGCTTGCCTTCCCTCCATCCCTCTGGTTTCACTGAAGAAGTTTCTATGGAGGCCATACTATCGCTAAGGCTACACAGCCGTAACTGGACAGTGGACAGTCACGTGCTTGTATACAACTTTGAGTAAGAACGAGACAACACAATGCGCTAGAGCATTGTGTTGTCTCGTTCTTACTCTCGTCCCTATCTTGAAACGCTACCATGTTCTCAAAGTTTCAGTACCAACTCGCCCAAGAATCCGCGTTACTTGTATACAAACCCACGTTGCTTCCTAGAGAGCGCATATCCACCGTATGAAATCTGAAAGCTGCCAAAATAATTTCTTGGTGGTTTGAGTAGTCAACGAGATGAATAGAGAGGTCGATTTTCTTCCCTTTCAAAACATTGCTATGTAACATCGTCACCCTAATTTATGTGTAGACCAACCATGTAGATTTGGCAGCCCTGCGATTCTAAAGTGTCATTTACGTTACGCGTTTTCAATATTTACAAGTCAGCCCAGCGTGCGATCTCCTGAGCCCAGCACGCGCATGTTCGTCACTTCGGAAAGCGAACAAATCACGCGCCATTCACACGAACACTGAAAAAGGAACCGGCCATGGAGCCCTTTTTTGGAAAGGTCTATAGTGAGGGAGTTCGAACCACGTTTCCGCCTTTGCGATAACACAGCGCGTCCATGACACAAAATGGCAGACATGCGTCATATCGTGATTCCCCGTGTGCTAGACTCTCAGTGACTTTCAGACTGTCCATCCATCCAAAAGACATCTGAATTCCTCTGCAGTGAATGTTACTTTCGTTCTTAGCGTCTCATATACTACATGCTTTGCGTCCCGTATACAGAGGAAGGCGCATGACTCAGTGTTTCTTACGGAGCTTCTCGCATCCCTCGCATTGTATAAGTTATCTAAGAACAGTACACCCGGTGTTAATACAAAAAGAAAGAATGTCTTCTCTTTTTTTTTTTTTCTTTTTAGCAACGCGTGGTTTATTGGAGGCGCCATCTGGCGAAGTGCATCTTCTCATATTCCTCTTCGGAGAGTCCTTCGGAGTCTTCGAGGCGCGTGGCTGGCGTCACTATGACCATCGTGGCCGCGCCAACACCGTGGATGACACCGACATTGTGGGCCACAGCAGTACCGGCCCCACCGGCACCATGGGCCCCACCAGCACTGTGGACCACACCAGCACTGTGGGCCACACCAGCATTGTGTGCCGCATTGAGCGTCCTCCTTTGGCGGCGGATGGCGTAGTCGACGACTCCCTGCATGGTTTGTAGAATGTCCAGGAAGCAGCCGTCATACTGGCGACCGCAGTCTGCTCCGGAACCTCGCCCGTACTTGGCGGCAAGTTGCAGCGGTGTCATCTGCGCAGTCTCCTCCGCTCCAGGCTTGAATGGCCTGAAGAACACCCGAATGCACAAAGAAATCGGTGATAATCTGCGCCTTTTTTGAGAAGGCAGGATGGCTGATCTTCGCTTCTTATTCTGGTTGTGCGAGCTAAAGAAGGATGTATAAGAATGGCCCCGGCCATAGCCTGGCAGATCGCAACGAGAAGCAGCCGCCGAAGTGGAAAAGTTGGAGCGGCAGACAACGGATGAAAGAGCCACGTGACTGGCGCCCCGCTGCGGTGAGACGCCGAAACACACTTCTCCTGAGCGAACAAGTGTGTTTTGGGTCCTCGCCGCTGCAAAAGCTGTGCGCTGACGTCCAGCTTCCCGAGAAATGGCTCTTTGGTGCTCAGTGTTACCAGATCCTCGCGCTCCAAATCTGCGACCGGGCACTCTATGGCTTCGTCGCCGAACTGCCAGGCTTCCCGCACGAGCTTCCTATCCTTGGGTAGTGCTTCGGCGTCTCGTGAACCCAGAGCGTGCACGCGCAGCCGAAGCACTATAGGCGGCGAGAGCGTGCGGGAGGAATTCGAAACAGACGCCTACGTCGGTCTCATCCTGCCAGTGACAATAGTGTAAGAATTTCCGTCCTGACAGAAAAGCGTATAGTCCGTTCCAACTCAAGAACGTAGGGCTAGGGAAAGGAAGGCCGGGGAGGAAGAAGCAGACGGAACGCTGGAGAGAGGAAGAGGTTTCTCCCTCTTTTCCAGCGTTCCGCTTGCTTCCTTCTCCCCGGCCTTCCTTTCTTTCGCCCTATCTTTTTGAGCTGTAAGTTACTTAGTGAGGCAAAATTTCACCGACAATATATGTTTCGTTACTTATACAAACAAATCCCCCCCCCCCCCCTCAAAAAAAAAAATCTTTATTTTTTTTTTATTTTTTAAAATAAATTATGCATTGCTAAAACGCTCCTCCTCCACCCAAAGGTAACGCTACCGGTCTGAACCAGATGGAAAGTTTAAGCACTAACCATTATTTTCTTCAAAAGTTACGTGATTTTCTCAAACTTTCAATGGGAAAATGGCAACCGACAAAGCAAATTCTAATACAAAAAAAAAAAAAAAATTAAAAATGGACAGACAACGTCTGTCCCTTTTCCTTCCTCCATGAGTGTTCCGTTTTTCAAACCAGTTTCCGGTTTGTTTTTATTCATCATGTTTAGCTAACACCAGCTCGCCTTTTCATTGAACACAACTTTGTCAGAGGGACGTTTTTATGCCCGTGCCGATTGTTATTCAGCTGTGCTTAGCTGTGGCCACAAGATGCACTGAGTGAAATCTCATATACACAGTGACTGATGTTGCGCCATATGCCATCCTCTGAGCCAGAACCAGTTAGACCACGTGAACCACAAGCTGGTTGAACAAGAACGCGAGCGCGCTTCCGCGCTGTTAAAATGTCATAGAACTTACGGAAAGATTAGTTGCAGGGCAACACCGACGATCCCATAGCGACCAGGCCTGTTATGCGCTTCGCAGATGGTCCTCTTGAGGCACTCTTGAGCATCCATCCTGGGCACCAGGTTAGGCATCCTGTCGGCTAGTTTTAGCAGCGCCGTATGACTCTTCTCAAGCAGCGACTGCACGGCACCCATTAGGAAATTCTCAACTCCCCTCGGCTGGAAGTCCCCGATGTCTAGCCTCGATGCCAGTACTGGCGGCTGTAGGACCCAGAGGACTAGTGCAAGGCCCAAGGCCGTCATCAGGGGTGTCGTTGGCCGATTGTTTCGCAACGACGCGCACAAGATGGAGGTTTTTCGATTGTGCTGGTAATGCATCCTGTTGTGTCCTTGGTGAATGCGTGTCTAACTTCGTTCCAAGTAGGACCCCGATGTTCCATAATTAAATTTGGGTAGGATCTCAGATGGTAGCATCATACGGAGGGCCCGCCTCCAGTCCGGCAAAAAGGCGAGTCTGGTTCTCAGCAGTTTCATGGCGCTGCTATCACTCGATCGTCACAGGCTTTAGTGAGGTTGTCGGCGTGTACCTAGATGACGAGAAAAAAACGAAGTTTCAGTCACTTACATGACTGTTGACACAGACACCGCCAGTTGTCGCTTATTGCAGCATCATCCGTGTTGTGGGAGACTTTTAATAAGCTTACAGTTCTTAGTAAAGACGTTCGAGGGATGCATTCTGTAATAAAAAAAAAACGTTTACAAATCTCTGTAACGCGAAGCTAGAGCGCAACTCTTGAGGAGGAGGAGGGAAGGGTATGCCTCCCCTCCTACCCTCCTCCTCCTCCGGTGACGTGACATGAAGAGGTGATGTCATTATCCCCCAAGGAGGTTATAAGTACTAGTAGGGGGCACGTACGTTGCAATATTGGTGAAGCCTAGTCATAAAAAGTTTAAACGATGTTGTGGCCAACGTGACCGCAGATCTCTCTGGCGATTGGTGTGCGTGACATGTCACGTGCGAGATGGATGGTTGCTTGTAGGAAGATTCTTTGCAGGCTTGCGCGCGCTCCGTCCGGTAGGTTTTATCAGATCGAAGGCTAGACGAAGGCTAGCTACGGTCACGTGATGTGGTCACGTTGGGCTGATAAGTGAGGAGAGTAAGGAGGAAAATGAGAAAGAGGTGAGGCGTCAAGGGAGCATGGCTTGTGGAGGCTAGGCGGCTGACGTCATGCCCTCTCCTATCCTTCTATCCTCCTAGTTTTCTTCCCTAGAAACTGAATTGAGGTTGAGGCCAGGTGACGTCAATTTACCCGCTAAATATAGCGGGGAAACACTTTGCTAAATTTAGCGGGGAAATTTTCCCGTTAAATTTAACGAGAAAATTTCCCCGCAAACTTTAGTGGGGAAAGGTCCCATAATAAAGAGTTTTCGTAGATGGTTTTCGCCGTCCCGCCACGCTCTCCGCAACCCGCTACGATACCTGGAACTCTACAGACAAGGCTATCGGCGCGCAGGCGCAGTAGGCGCGGCTTCTTCGTTGCGGAGGGCTTAGCGGAGGGAGAAACGCGACACCGCTCAATCCGGAAACGGGCGCCTAAGAGCTGCGCTCTAAAAACCAGACGTCGCACACTGGTGCCCTGTACGAACAGCCCTGCAGGACAACAAAAGGATCAATGAAGAAACAGCATTAGTAGAAAAGGAGGATTAAATAAATAGTTGATAGGCCAGCGCTAGAGGGTGCTAGTACTAGTACACTCTACCAGAGCATAAACGAAAAGTTTTCAATTTACCAAAAAAAAAAAAAGGGAGGGGGGGGGGGGGGGGTCTAAAGCCCGACAAGACACCGCCCCCCGGAAAGACGCCTTACCAGGTTACACTTACGATTTCGTCTAGGGAATAATTATTCGAAATGAGTCATTTTGCAGTGCAACATGGTAATGAGAGAGCAGCCGAATAAATATACAAATCAAATCAAATTTGGGGGTTTTACGTGCCAAATCAACAACGGGCATCTGGCACGCCACAGCGGAGGACTGCGGATTAATTTGGACCACCTGGGGATCTTTTGATGTGCAACCCAAAGCATGGTTACGGCGCCTCCTCCGCAATAAGCCTCTGGCAGATTGCGGGCACCTCGGCCGGGATTCGAACCCGCCACGTGGGGATCCGTAGGCCAGCGCACTCGCCTCGGAGCCCCCCAAGGCGGCTCCGAAAGAAATATACGAGTATGCTTAATTTAGCTTGACCAGCTTGTTAGTTTTCATCGCGAACATTACTCTATGCATATATCTCCGTCCTAATACTAAAGCAGCAGTTACTATCGTTTTGTTTGTGATATTGCGGGAACAGTAATAATAAGGAGTTTTCGTAGATCGTTTTCGCCATCCCGCAAGTCCCTCCGCAACCCGCTACGATAGCGGGAACTCCACAGTCAAAGCTATCGGCGCGCAGGCGCAGTAGCAACTTCTTCGTTGCGGAACGCTTAGCGGAGGGGGCAGCGCGGTCTACGAAAACTCCCTAAAATGCAAGCTCCCACGTTACTCCTTCGTGCCTCGAACCAAAATAATGCGAGGCTTGTTTGATGCTGGTTTAGCTCTCCCCTACCGAAAAGACATCCCTGCTTGCCCTCCTTATCACCCCTCGTAATGTTGAGGCAACACTCAAGTAGAGAGCTACTGTGGAGCCAGGCTGGCGCTCGGTGGGAACCTGGCGGCCATCGGGCGACTCTTGAGTCCGCGGCCGTCGGTCGCTGAAGCTTCGCTTTTTCGGTCTTGTCTGGTTGCCGCCTGTTTCAGGCATAGAACAACAACACAACGCCAACAACACGTAGATGTTATTTTGTATTTTATGTTTGGCCATTTTGTTTTTCTTTTACGAGCGTTTCTTTGGTTTCTTTATTAGCCGCGAGGGGCATTTTTTAAAATGCCTTTCAGCGTCAAAAAAAAAAAAAAAAAGCATTTCGCTGCTGTCACTATAATGCGAGTGAGTATGGTGTCCTTTAGTATTTATTTTCTACCGCCTGCAGGCTTGTTTCCTTTTTTATTGCTACTCTTTTTCCCCTAGAATTAAGTTTTTTTTTTAAATGTTAAAACAAGTAACATCGCTTTGGGCGGAGGCGATGGTACTTGCTTTTCCGAAGAGCTCGGGAGATGGAGGGGGGAGGGGGGGGGGGGGGGGCGCCCCCCTTAGGTCGGGGCCTATGGGCCAGCGGTCGGTTGTCTCTTCTTATCTCCCTTCTTCCTTCCAATATCCAACTGGTCTCTCCCGAAATAAATGCACACGTGCCGGATAACAGACTCCATTGCTGACCTCCTCTTGCCTTACCGAGATGCCGAGACACTGAAGCGGGCGTTGACGAGCCACTACAACGGCATACACCGGAGAGGACACAGTAGAATCTAGAATGGCAAGAACCTCTCCGGTTGTGGTAATGATAAAGTGAAGTAACCGGAATACGAGAAAACAAAACCTGAAAGTCGTTTATGACGGCGCCCATGCACAGATGCTGCAAAGCGTATTCCATCTCGCAAATATCTGCAGCAAAGTAACGGTGATCTGCAGCGAAGAAATATGTAGGGGCACGAGAGCGTGACTTCAGAAAGTGTCTCTTATGGACGAGTCCTTGTACAAACAAAAGCATGCTGCTGAACTAGGCCCATGCCTTTGCTACAAACATTTGTGAGATGGCTGGCTCAGCTCATTCCTCTTTAAAGAAAAAGCCACAAAATCATCATCAGAATGCTTGCTCCTGACTCCTGACGAGAACGAAAAGGGACAGCTGCCCTCGTGCTCTCGTGGGCCAGAGTCACTCGATCGAAGCAGCAAACCAAGTCGGAAGCCGCCATGTCGGGCACGGCCGCGACCTATCTCTTCAGCTGCGGCGGCCTGCTCAAGATAGTCCAGCTGACTTGCTCCCTGACGACGCTCTACCAGATCGCGACCCTCACATTCGACCGGAAGCACCAGGTCTTTCGGATGGAGCAGGGCGACCTGAGCGTGACGGTGACCGTGTTCGCCTTTGCCACGTCATCCTGCATCCTCACCATATCCATCCTGAACGGCTCCTCGGACGTGCCCGAGACGCAGCTGTACCGGATGAACTACGCCATCGGGGCCCTCGTCCTCAGCGTCAACACGGGCTTCTACGCTGCCAGGGTGTGGGACATGCTGCTCTCGTCGCCGAAGCAGGGTGTGGCCGTCTACCTGTGTGCGGCCAACGCGGTCGCGCATCTGATCAACTATATGTACGCTGTGAGAGCCAGGACCCGGGCCTCCATAACCAATTGATTTTTTGTGCGGTCAAAGGGCGCCGCCATCTTTAAAAAGGCCATTATAGTGATTTGGGACAATCGTTTCTCTGAACAGCGGGGAAGAGCGAGGATGATAAAAGATATCGTATTAAAGGTACTGCAAAAGCAGCAAGCAAACGTATATCGTTATGTGTAAGTTCACGTGGCCTCATCCGCGAAGTCATTCTCAGACGTCGGAGAGATTAAGCGGAAATCCTGGGAATTATCGCATTCTGCACATGCTAGACAACCTCTCAACAACAAGGCTCTCAACAGACCATCATGGGTGAGCAAAGCACTCTCCATCTGACAATGGCACCGACCACGAGCCTCTTATGGGCGAGCACGTGCGTCATGCGCGTGTAGGTAACTTTTGCCACACGAGAAGGGGCATGGCGCTGGCCAGGTTCGTAAAGAAAGCATGGGCTAGGGTGGTTCAACGTCCTTCTGTTTAGGGTGATGTTATCCCTTGTAGTATCCCCGATGCCGACAGCACGCGCTCAAAGGGAAAGTACGAAGAAACCGCCAAGAACAAAATGTCGTCGTATCACAGCAGCGCCACAAGCGCGTGCAGGGACACCCTCTCTCACGCGCTTCTGAAAAAAAAAAAAAAAAAAAGTGTTTGGAACAAAATGGCCCGTTGTCATCAACCCTAAGCCCCCTAAGCAAAGCGCACATGAAAGCGCCATAGCGCGGGCAGGATTGACAAACGTTCAAAGGTACTTCCACGCCGCACGTTGTCTTGCTAAAACAACAAAATAAAAAAAAAATAAAAAATTGTAAAATTTATTTTTTGACACGCGTCCCCCACTTAGACATTTTTTTTTTTTTTGGACGCAGCCGACGTGGCCGCTTGCCGCGCCGATATTCGCTGAGATGCGATCACGTGAGGAGGAGACTCAAATGCCGTACAGGAAAGTAGACGTTGCGAGGGCGCTCCCCGCCGTACGTTCCCCTGCTTTTAAACGCGCGGCGCCGCTATTCGCCGAATTCAGTCACGTGAGGAGCAGACTCCAAATGCCGTGCAGGAAAGTCGGCGCTACGGGGATGAACGCGCAATTCTGGCACAAGATAATAGGGACTTTTCGTACACCGCGGTGCCCCCTCCGCTAAGCGTTCCGCAACGAAGAAGTTGCTACTGCACCTGCGCGCCGATAGCCTTGACTGTGCAGTTCCCGCTATCGTAGCGGGTTGCGAGGGTCTTGCGGGACGGCGAAAACGATCTACGAAAACTCCCTAATTGTTCTGTGTGAGTTTATACAGCCGGAAGTTAGTCTGCCTCAGTCAGTGGGCGTCTATGTCTCAGCTGTAGATGAGCAATGTAGCCAGCGCGGTACAACCGCTAACCTGGGGTCTTTAACGTGCATCAGTAGTGATACACGACCGCACGCCGGTAAGATGCTCACCCAGATCGAAACGGGCAGGGGCGCGGCTCCGTTTCATAACTTTGCGTTCCATAAAGCCAGAGCCGTGCATAAAGCAGAGCTGAATAGACACCGTGCTTCGAAACGTATGTATTCCATCATGGCCTCCGAGATCCCGCCTTCGCGCGCGCGCTTCGGGATCTCGGAGGCCATGATTCGATAGCAGCCGTCCGGCGCCGACGGGAGGCGAGCCGTGGTGACAAAGGGGTGAGGTACTGCTCGTGCACGCAGCGTCTATGAGCAGTTCTAAAAACATTGGCCAAGAAGGACGCGTCGTCTGCTAGCACATTGTGGTGACTCGCATCAACCTATTGGCCGCTTGGCGCGGGTTGGGGCTCCACGAGTTTTACCACTAACGATGACGTCATGAGCAGGCCATGTCCTTTAGGTAGTATACTCGTATCACAATAAAACAGAATCTGGCTCCTCGCGAAGCTTTACTAATTCCCCCCTTTTATGCGTTGTATTAAGATATCTGTAGGCGAGTGATTTATTTGAAATTCTGCGCGCGAAATCCATGACGTCACAGGTCATTCCGGAATGACCATCTCGGTCGTAAGGGCGAAGCCGACTCACCAGAGCCCTTTATACTGGGCTCTGGACTCACTTCTCAAAGGAGGTGTTGCTCCAAGCCCCCGAAATGCCGAGAGAGAAAAAAAAGTGGAAAGGAGGGGAATGCCGACTAAATCGCGTCTTGCGCCGTAAATATTCCTCTAATTTTTTTTTTTCGCGTAAAATTTATTTTTTGACACGCGTGTCAGGGATTCTTGAAGCAAAATATAGTAATAAATGCCGCTTTCTTTTTCTTTTTTTTTTCTTCTTGGGGGGGAGAGAGAAAAGTGGCAGGCCCTTCTAGTAGGTGGTTTTGGCTGGGCAGTGGAAGTCGCACGCTGAGATGTGGATTTGCTACGTTTACTGCAGCTGCAAGCGCGAGCGGCGAGTTCATAAATTTGTTGGTTTTGCTGCTTCTCGTCCGTACAAGGAGCTCGCACAACTGACATTCATAGCACACGCGATATTTGGCTTACCGCTTGAATTGCACGACGTACTTCGAGCTAAGGTGAGCCGGCAGGAAAATCAGGAGTGAAGCACCGGCTACAAGAGCGAGCGCCACACTGCGTTCACGCTTGCTGCCCAAGTGAGCTCGACAAACCCGTCAGCGGTTCAGGCTTTTCGGCAAGAATAGTGCAGCGCACAGACAAAAACACGTAAGAACTCTGACCTTCATGAACTCCGTGTTCGGAAGAAACGAAGTGTAGTTGCACTTTAGCCACGTAGAGCGTTTGCAATTAAGTGGCAGACACCCCTTGCGCAGATTACTTTAGCGCAGGTTGGTTGCTCACGCGCAGTGGCGTAGGCAAGGGAGTGGGGGGTTCAGGGGTCGAACCCCCCCCCCCCCCCCCGAAAAGTTCGACCGCCAGTCGGATGTTAGGTACAGCCCACTCGGCGGAGCAGACGAGGCGCAGGGTGAGAGGGGAAGGGCATCTTTTTTTCTTTCCTCTATATTATAGAGGAAAGAAAAAAAAAAAAATGCCCACAAAATGCTCAATTCGTCAATTTTTATTAGCATCTTGTTCTTTTTTAGCTTTTCAGTGCAACGTGGAGCTGTATCTGTTTCGCTCCGTATGCTTACAACTCTTGCCCACGCAATCGTCTCTTTTTTTTTTTTTTTTTTTTTTGCGGCATTATGGGTTTGGCCGAAAGAACCGAAACGAGCACGGGCCAGCTTGTGTCAGGAGGACGCTGGAAAACATCGACTGGCTAAAAGGTAGTCATCACGCACGCCAACCCAAGCAGGTTCTTGTATCCGGCAAGAAATAGCACAGAGTTCATCCGCGGCGATTCGTGCGCCTGCCAAGTCGTGCGAAAGGTACAGCACGGAGGAATCTGAGGATTTGTTATTCTTTGGTTTCCGTAATTTCGTTCTTAATAAAATCAGGATAGAGGTTGCTTATAACGAAGGCGGAGGTGGATCCCCAAAAGTACTGCGTACAAAAATAACTAAAGTACACAGAGGTGCAGATAAATAACATCTCTACTACACATAGAGATGTTGAGATCGACACAGCAGGAACCCACGCGCGCGATGTCACGCGGTGCAACAACCTGGGGGCTTCAAAAATTAAGGATGTTTGAGCACGCTGAAAGATATTCAAAGGACATTATTCTTACCAGAATGCCAGAACGAAACCACTTCGAGAACGCATCCACAGTCCTGTCGTCTGCTCATCTCATCGTCTGCTTCGACTTTCCTCAATGACGTCAAACTCAGCCGTGCTTCCATCTGGTGCTTTAAGATTCAACTATAAAAAAAAATTGACCGGTTTTGTGATTTTTTTTTTATATCCTTCATAACACCTCATTACTCGTAGTGGACAAAAATAAAGTCATAATAGTTTCAAAATTTACTCGCTCATGTCTAGGGTACACTTTGTTGTCACGTCGTACGCGTCGTACACTTTGTTGTCACGTGACATAACCCGTCGACCAGTGTCGTCGACCGTCGTCGACGAAACCGAAACCAGCGTTGACCGAAACAAGGTGGTCCAAAGCAGTGGTCCAAAGCAAGTCCAACGTTCTTGGTTTGATAAAATCAGTAAAATAAATTTTATAGCAATAATAAAACAAATAAACATTTGGTTAATTAATTTTCTTTGAGCAGGAATCGGTTTTGTTTTGCCGTTCGAAACTAAAGAGGGCAAAACAAACAATTCAACCTGGTTGAATTTTGAGCGGGTGTTGCCGTTGTACTGGTTGTACGGTTACACCGTTACACGGTTACACCCACAGTTTGTTACACCGGTTACACCCACGGTGTGGGGGTGTGGGTGGTGGTGGTGCTCGTAAGTTTTAGTTGCAGAAACACCCTCTGGTCTCTACGTCGCCGCGGTTTTTCATCCTCTTTAAAATGGAACATAAAGAAATACGCTGCATGGGTTGGGGCGTCAAGCCCTCCGGGGAGTCTACCATGCAAGTCGAGGCACGCACTTGGAACGGCAAGTGCTTCGTGACCGCGAACGTTCAGCAACGTATCGACGACACTCACATCCAGTGCGTCGACGGCCGGGTGTACGAGTTGGTTGGAGAATTTGATTACGTCAGCGGCGCAAAACACGGACTTCCCAGTAGGATCCTAGACACCTTCAAGGAGGGCGTCCCCGAGAATTGGGCCCAGGTCATCGCAGGTTGGACGTCGGAAGTTCAGAAATTTCAGCCTTCCGCAACCGACCAGTACTGTAACGACGACGCAGACGCCGAAAACAGCTGGGGTGTGACAAAGAAGGCAAGTTCCAAGAAGGCAGAGGGGCCAGGTGCTAGAGCCTCTGCAAGAACTGTGATGGCCGAGCAGGCATGTAAAACCGTAAAAGAAACTTATCACGTAGAAGGTCGTCGTGACCAACCTAAGCGACCGTGCAAGAAAAACGCCAGAACTGAAGTTGCAACAGGAGACGAGAAAAAAGAAGGGCCCAGACCGAAAAGTGGGAGACAATGGCGAAATGCCAACCCGCAGAAAGAGGACGTCACTCTGCCTGTGAACATCACTGCAAGAAAAGGAACTGTAAAACGACAAACGCAGGTTCACAAAGCAGACAAGACACTCTCCGTAGCCCCTGAGGATAATGCCACTCTGTCCGTTGCAACCGTTGCAAGAAAAAGGAGGTCCAGAAAGCAGGTCCAGAAAGTAGATAAGGCGATTGCAGCTGTTGCTGAGGGCGATGCCATTCTGGCCGTAGAAACCTCTGTAAAGAAAAGGACTCTGAAACGACGAATGCAGGCCCAGAAAGTGGACAAGGCAATTGCCACTGTCGCCAAGGGCAACGCCACTCTAGCCGTAGCAACCGCTGCAAGGAAAGGGACTCTGAAACGACGAACGCAGGTTCAGAAAGTGGACGAGGCGATTGCAACTGTCGCTGAGGGCAATAACACTCTGGCCGTAGCAACCGCTGCAAGGAAAGGGACTCTGAAACAACGAATGCTGACGCAGAAAGCAAACAAGGCCACAGTGTCGAGCGACATGTTTCGGTCCCCTGTTCCGACAAAAGACTGGGTCATGCCGCCTGCATTGCTCCTTGCAGGGAGTGACGAAGAACAGGACGATGCAATGTGGGCAGCTGGACCCACGCCACCCCTGGGTCCCACCTTTGGCAGCCCTAATCGCCACAGTCCTTGCTCGAGCGCCACGCCGTCCCCAGGTTTCATTGTGTCGGGGAAAGTCTTCCACGGCCTGAAGAAGGCGGTGGAAGCCGAAGACAAGAAGAGTTGTCGTCCCACTTCTGTGCCAAAGAGAGCTGGGGGGAGGGTGCCGTCCAGGGCAAAAAGAGTCCTGAGAGAGCTACAGTTGTCAAAAGGTCAGCTCCAAGACGGGAAAGAACAAGAGAGCCACCCGCAGCAGTTCGATGTGGAGCTGGACTAGGTGCATTTTGGCAGCGACAGCTTTTCCTAAAGGCTTGCACGTGGCACGTCGGACATGTATCTTGTGGCTCAGCTGAGCCGAATTGCTTTTGGCATTTTATATTAAATTATGTGCATGTATAAATTATTTTGTACAAGTTCCGCATTAATTTGCTCTACCTTAGCTGAAGCAGCATTGCAGCGAGAGAAGAAATTTAAACAGAACATGTGCCCATATGAATGTTCAGTTTGGGTACAGGTGTTCCCTTGCATTAATGTGAGCAGCCCCCAAGAAATGCCTATGCAGACAGTTGGATGGAAGCTGCGTGCCTGTCGGATGCGTCGTACGTCGAGTTTTTTCCCGTGCCAGTTAGAAAGAGGGAGGATCAAGTGATGAAAGGGAGGCGGTCGACCGGTCTAGCTGACACGTACCTCCCACCGTGCTGTCGGCTTGAATGGAGTTTCACAGTGTGGTGTTTTATGGTTACCGTCGCCTTGTATGAGCACTTAAAATGTTTCACAATGACTCCATGTCTGGATTGAAACTGCTTTACATATTTCTTCCAGATCTGGTACTGCATCAGCTTGGTTTCTTGGTAGCTAACTATGCGTTACCTTGCCCCAGACAAAATGGTTCTGTATGATATGGCTCCAACTGTGAGGCCAGTCAACGTGTTTAAAAAATTCTTTATTCGAATGCAGTGGTTATATATATTACACATAACTATACATTATGGTATATATAAGATCTCATGCTTGCCCCAACCTTTGAAGTAAGTAAATTTGAAAACAAACGTCTTGTAACATCTAAAAGTATTTTGCATAGCATGTTACTATTTTGTCCGGATACCGGTGACCATTCAGCGAAGTCCAATACATAACTTTCTGTGGGCATCATAGGCAAAGCCGGCGCTCAGGGTGACGTGAGCACGCGCACCTTGAGCGCTGATCACCAGTTGTGCATGTACACTATTCACTTCTAAGGTGCCACAGAGTTGAGCAACACCAACGTATGACCTGGCCTATGATGACGAGTTTATTGTTCATTGTAGATACTAGTCGCTGTCTTCGTAGCCTCTGCAAGCTCATGAAGAGTGTGAAGAGCTCGACCGTTTCGAAGGCCATGGGCGTACCTAAAGCCCCTTGATAAAAGCGTTTTTTACAAGTACCGCCAACCATTGTTGTGGAAGCGCTCGAGACACGTGCCATGAGCAGGTGCTCCGCCGCCATTCGCTTCCAAGGCCCGCTCATTTCAGTGCTGCGCCGCCATTTGCTTCCAAGGGCCACTCGAGACATGGGCCTCGTGCACTTGCGCATTTGACGCTACTTGCAAGACGAGCGCAAACACATCGAGGGGCTTTAGGCGTACCAACCAGGGAAGCAAGGGGAGCGCTTGCCCCCCCCCCCCCCCCCCCCGAAACAGCCGCCAGTGGGCAGGGTAAACACTAGCCGGCAGCGCACAAGGGATACCAAGAGCACCAACACCGCCCCCGGCCCTGGGGGGGAGGGAAGGAAAGAGAAGGGGGGCGGGCGGGGGAGGGGAAGTCTGTTTCGCCCCCCCACTCAAGAACAAGTTGGTACACCACTGTCGAAGGCTTCAAATACTGACGCTGATAATAATAATAATATTAATACTTGATTCATACTTTGGAGGGGTTTATCCAGGCGCACAGGGTCGCAAAAGGCAGTGATGCCCATACCACGAAGGCTTGCAGTCCCAACCTGGGGCCCATTATCGCACACGCACGTGAAAAAAAAAGAAAATTTCCCATTGAAATTTTCAGAAAATCACTTATAACTTTTGATTAAGTTATCGGATCGGGCTGAAACTTTGGCATATGATTGTGACCTCTAGCTCTACCTTTGGGCAGAGAATGAGCGTTCGGCGATGCCTAGTTTATTTTCGCGGTAAAAAAGACCGTGTAAATTTTCTTTTGGGACACCCTGTACTTTGTACCACGTTTGTACACGCGTCCACTGATTGAGAGATCAGTGCACGCGTCAAATATGGGCGCTCTGGGTGTTCGAAAATTTTCCCGCATCCAGTCAATCCAGTCATCAGATCCAAAGTGTCACGTGACATAACAGAGTTGACGGAGTCGCCAGGGTCGCTTGGAGGCGTGGAACAACTGAACGTTCGGCAGGCCTGATTGATCGAACACCACAAAAAAATGGCGCAAGCCAGTGTGGCTGCGGTACGAGATAGCCTCATAAAATGCATATTTTTCTGCGAATTTCACCCCACTGCTGGTCCCAAAATCACATATCAGGTAAGCGAAAAGGTAACGACAGCCAGATCGACCAGTTGATGACAGCTGCTAGGTAAGATCACAAGGTCTCACAGGTTCTGAACTTGTGTGCTAGTTTCGATTTGAACTGTGCCAGTGTTTGGCCGTAATCGCGGTTCCTTTTTCATGCGGTACTTATGAACAGATGACACTATTATTGCAGGTTCCCGTCAACTACATCAGCGAGGAAACGTTCAGTTCAATCAGCGTCTACCTCATTCCCAAGCCAGAGCTTCAGCATAAACTGATGACTGTGTAAGCGCCCTCGCACTTACTCGCGAGTTTATGAAGCTTTTGTTGAGTTGGGAAGGCGAACTGAACGGTGGTTCATTGCATTTCAATCTTCCGTATTAAAAAAAAATAAAAAAGAGGAAACTAAACGTTTTCAACGGTGTAATGCTGACCTATATCATCTCTCTCGATTGGTATAATTTAATATTCAACGGTTAAAGGCTGCACACAAACAGTGGTGTGAATCCAGGTAGGTGGAGTGCAACCAAGCAGTTTACAGGAATGAATAAACTAAAATGCTGCATCCTGGTTTTCCCGGGTTTCAGTTATGGCAGGTTTCTCTTATGGCGAGTTCCTCAGGGTCTGGTGAATCTCGGTAGATTCGCGTTGGCTCGCAGAAGAGCAAAGAAATGTTTTTATTTGAACAGACTGCTTTGCTTCATGCAGGAACATGTGTGAGATGAAGGTCATTGGCTACCCCGTGGGTATTGACAGCGCCCAGTACGACCGCAACAGACTCATGTTTAACCTGTGCTTTGTTTGTGATGCCAAAATGCGGACCATTCAGTATGAGCCCATTGTTCGGAAGCTGGCAAACTACCTTATCACGTTGGAGGCAAGCTAAGTTTTGCTTTTCTGCATGGTAAAGTGGGCGGGTTTCATCAGTGGAACATTTAAACTTTGCCTAATGGCTGACACGAATGTCTTGATGGATTAACTGTGATGCAATGTCCTTATCTATTTTTAGCAAGAAACAAATTTCATCCTCGATGAGTCCAAAAAGCGGCAGCTGCCTAAGATCATGTCGGAGATATTGCACGATCTCAACATCAAGCGAAGTTGTTCCATTCCCATAAGTAAGTTTCTGCCTAGCCCTATATTCTGAAAAGTAGAAAAGGCTTTTTTTCATTATAATGCAATTCAATGCAAAGGTGCAAGCGAGCTGGACAAGAATGACGAAAATAATCCCTGGTGAAGGGGAACAGGAGGGACAAAGGTCAAACATAAATCTCCAAAGAGATTATGTTTGTCCTTTTTCCTCTTGTTCCCCTTCTCCAGGGATTATTTTTGTCTTTTTTTCATCTTCTTTTTGTCAATTTGAGTTTTGTGAACTGTTGTGTTTTCCCCCGCCAAATGTTAGAATTCATGCTTTTTTATTTTCCTCTCTACAAGGGTGGCGTAATGTTTACTTGATTGCTTGAGAAAGTGATGACAATTTTCGTATTGCATAACGAGACCACTACTTTAACTTGGGATGTCAAAAAGATCTAGCAAATCATTTATTCATCCATGAACTGATCTCATTTGTAATTATAATTACGAATTACATTGTAATTATAAATAATATTGATGGCAGACGTCGAAATTTGATATTTACTGACGTTCAATTGCGGTATTTTTTAACGAGCGATTTCGCTGTTTGTTTGATCCCTCCTCTCTAGAAAGAAAATGTAGGTGCACAACAGTGTTAAAAGTTGATATTCTTACTTATTCCGTTGCAGATGACTCGACAACAATATACCTCAAGGTGACGACTGTCCACGAGGCCCCCTGTGAGGTGTCTGACCACGACGTCCCCATCTTTACGGCCAGCAGGCCAGCATGCACTCCGTCCCAGTGGGACCTCACCACACAGCAAGTAATGCTTGCGTCGTCCTATAGCCTTTCTGCAGTGCAGCCAGTGGCCTGCCTTGCTACCTCTGTATACATAGACCCGATAGGTGTATTATAGTGTGGTGTGCTGCTGTATGCTTGTTTCCAGAAAAAATTGAAAATGTACAGTAAAATTATCTTGCGTCCAGTTCATTTGAGTAAAAAGAGAGTGCGACGATCACATGACTTGATGCGTTTAGATAGCAGCAGCTGTGCTGTATATTCAAAGATATGACGATGACGATCGAGTCACATTGTGCTGATCGTGCGTCATGCGGTGATCTGATGTTGAAATGACGCATCGATTTAGCGTCGATACATTTTTGATGAATAAATGATTTTAAGGTCGTGATGTGTTTTCCCACCATATTTAGCGGGTAAACCAAATTGGTGCATATGTCGCGTGATATCAATTTTTCTGCTAGATTTAGCAAGGAACCTGAATTTATAGGTCCCGTGACATTGGGTTGCGTGACATCAATTTTTCCGCTAAATTTAGCGAGGAAATTGGATTGGTAGATTAGTCACGTGACATAAATTTTTCCGGTAAATGTTGCTGTATAGCAACTGGGAGCACTTGCAATTAGTTTACTGTCGAAAAGCCTCCGAGTTGCTATCGGTGCAGTTATAAAACTATTATAATTGCTGCTGTTCAGAATCTGTGGAAGAGCTTTTTCCTATATATGTTCAAAGAATAATGCGAGACCACTATTGGGACACATATAAACTCCCGTTAATCACACATATTAGTGTGTAGTTTCCTCACGTTATATTTGACTATGAACTGAGCAATACAAACTGGAAGTGCTGAAAGGTGGGGAGAGAGTAAAGACGACAACACAAGGTGCACTTGCAACTGCATTTTTAGTAGATAAACGCTGGCTTAATACCATTTACAAAAAACAAACATGTCAAAACATGTCAAACAATGATACAGAGCCAGATACAACTCCTTTCCTAGCTCAGAGGCTGTTGGAATCCATCTATATTTGCAGTTACAGGGATTTCTTTTGTCATTCGCTTCGTCAGTGAAAGATAAACAAGGTGTCTGTAAATTCAAGACATCCAGAAAAGTTTTTCAACGGATCACTTTTGCTAGTAGAAAAGAATCTGTCATTATCAATGTTTAGTTTGCCAATTATTGGATCACATCAGAAAAACTGAGATGGGCTCACTAAAAGCTTTACTAGGTAATTTTAAAGGTTATCACTTAGTAGACTGCTGGTTTGAAGCATTGTTGTTTGGGAACGTAGTGGCCAAATGTAAAATTAGCGGGCTCTGCAGGATTCGCCGTGTGTACGTTCTTCACCTCAATGTAGAAACAGCAGCCGATAGGTATCCTCAACTGCGTGCACGTGAGAGTTGTTAATGAATACGGCTCCAGTCGCCGATGGATAAAGAAATGCACGGTGTGGCCAGTTCTGAGCATCTGATTATCCCTTCTCGGCCAGCGAGATCGTGCCTTTGGCCGACAAGAGTGCCAAAGAACCTGTCGCAAAGCGAGAAGCCTGGATGTCGTAGGCCACGCCGTTTCGGCTGTCGACGACTGTAGGAGAGCAGGAACGCTCCTCTTCTAAACGCCGGCTTCGTCATATCTCGCAGAGAGTGCCGTCTGCTGCCAATGAAGCTGGAGTGCCTTCCACTTTGTCACGGGGTGTGCTTCTTGTGCTGGGCGGGGACGTCTCTTCTCTATATGGTGCCCGTAACGCATCACCGACTGGTGCAGAAGTGGTCTTTCGATTTCCACCCATCAGCGTCTTAAATTTGTAGCGCAATTCGGGCGCCATTGGTGTGACGTGCCATCTCGGCAGCGTCACATAGGCTCCGACAGTCTGCGGAGCTTAGGTGACGCTCACATTTTTTCGCTTTTTTTTTTTTTTTTTTTGTGAAATTTCCACGTTGCCAGGATCAGGACGTCCGACAGCACGACAGGTCGGCTCTCACGACGTCGTATGTCGCCACTTCGAGACCACTTTTGACGCCTGGGCGGAATGCGGAGCGCGAGTTCGTCTGGTCGGAGCTCGGCATTCCGATGTCGCCTCAACCGCGGCGAAAGAAGTGGCTGAATTTGCGCTCTGCATAGGATGCTAAACGTACCACTCGGATACGTGCTCTGGGCGCCACTGTTTGTCGGGTGCTTGGTGTCTGGTCTTGTGACCGCGAGTGTGTGCGTGTGAAGGGCTGCTCTTTGTAATGCTGAATTGTGCCTCTTTTTTTTGTTCTGTCTGGTTAAAAACCACCAGTGGGATATCACGGCGATGCAGGTAAGGGGAGACCGACGCTTGCATGCCGCTTTCTCTGTTCTCGTTCCCGCATGCCCAACAACTTTTGTCGCACTGGGTCGTGTTCTGTGCCTTTTGTCATGGCTCTGAATGTGGGGTTATGTGCGAGACTCGCTACATAACAAGAAATGGAAATGACCTCCTTCTCTGCCTCGGACCTTCCCGCAGACGCATCGCTGCTCATCTTGTCGATTTAAGGTTGTTCCTTCGTCGCCGTGAAACTAAAAACGACACAAATGTAAACAAGATGGTTCTGGACGGAAAGGAGACACTTTCCTTCTTCCAAATGCAAAGTAAACGTACGAGGGTGGGACAGATTTAACCTCTTTAAACCAGTGACAATGCTCAAACCCAAATCCGTAGATTCTAGAGAAAAAGACTAAAAGAGCAGAGAGAAAGAAACAAAGGAAAGGAGTTTAGCTACTAGATATCCCAAACAACAGTTCCATGACAATCCTTCAAATATGTGTTGCGAAGCCAGTCGTCTTAATCTTATGTTTCCGGAAGTGTATGTGTGCCACGTGTTTAGTAATGTCGTAGTGTTAGTATCAAGTGCTGTAGGGAATGAGGCAGACGGGAAGCAATTTTCTGCCCACTGTCTTTATTTCATGATCTCATTTGGCAGAGGTGTAGCAGTGGCTACTGATGCCTATTTTACTTTATCTGACTCGAGGTAGATCAGGCTTAAAGGGATGCTGAACCGAAATCCGGATTCCCCAAAACATGCCGCAAAAGCATGCAACGGGATGCTACAAACACCAAAACATCACTCATACAGTGATATCTCGAACGGATGACCGTATTTAAAAAAAAAAAGAGGCGCAATTGGCAGGAATGTTGACGTCATGTTTCTCCGAGAAGGAGAGGGAACGGCCTCGCGTCTTCTCCGCCCCGCGGCCTTGAAGGAGCGAAGCGAAGAGAGGAGGAAACTAGGTATCATGACGTCACGCGCCTCATCGGCCTGGTTCAATCTCGACTTTTTTTTCCAAAAATACGGCCGTCCATTTGAGATGTCGCCTTACTAGCAGTGTTGTAGGGATGGTAGCGTCCCGCCTACATCTCCAGCATAGTTTTTTTGAAATCCATATTACAGTTCACCATCCCTTTAACATGCTTCGAGCATATGGTAGGCCGTTGTGAGTTTTAACTTCATTTAGCTTGATTGGGCGGACCAACATAAGTCAGTTTCTTGTCATCTTGCACGTTACAGCTTTTCACCAAGGTACTTGCCAGGGTAAAAAATTTAGAGTGGGAGACCACCTTTGTCGACTAGTGGCTGCCACGGTCGCGGACAGTTTAAGAAACGCAGGGCACGGCGAGCCCCAAGCATCTCATTGTCGCTTCGCAGCCAATGACAATGCAGAGTTACCTGATCAGAACGCCAAGAAACCACTTGCAAAGCAAGGGGTGTCAATTTGATCAGCCATACCCTGCGTTTCTTAATCTGTCGATGACTTTGGTCACAAATGATTGGGTGTAAGGGCCCGTCCAGACACTCGTGACTCCTTAGGACCCAAGAGGGCAAAATCCTGCTTTTAAGCCTTTCGCAATGGCTTACGATCATCTCCGCAGCAGCGCAGCCGGTCAGAAGGCGTCGCGAGAGGCTTAAATACCGGTCGTGTCGAAGTCAGTCGGGGTCAAATGCAAGTGTTTGAACAAGCCTTAACGCGTATGGAGGAGCGCTTCCAAAAGTGCGCAGCATATGTAATGGAGTGTGACTTAACGTGTGGCCCATTTGCCCTATCGAGAGTTTGAGGTTGAGCATGCCGTACGTGATGGACTTGCAACGTATTCTAAGACATAGGATAGGCACCCTCCAGGACACTGCTGCTTGACATACCTTCTGCTACATGTGTTTGGCCAGCTATCTGGCCAGCTAGTGCAATGTAGTGAGGAAGTTATTTATTCAAACTTGATACAGTATAACATGTATTTCTGGTTTTATAATTCCTGGCGTCGCCTTTTTATTTCGCGAAAATATCCTACTTCACTTAAAATCCACAAATTCTTTGTATAAGCGTTCCACTTCTATATGAAACATGGAACTAAAATCTTGTTCTCTTTCCTGCCCTCTCACTGAGAGAAGAGATAACAACAAATCTTTCGCTTCAGTTTCTGGTGCGAAAAAGAGATACAACTTTAAAGGGCAACTCCGCTTAATTTCAAAAATTTTGAGATAGTGGCCGATCTTGCTTTTTGAAGCACTCAAAAACAATCCCCGATCCTTTGTTTCGCGAAAAATAAAATATTTTTCGTGTAATTTTACTGTAGCCATGATCACAAACCGAGACCGAAACGGTGGCAAAGCCGGACAACATTGTATATTCGGCATCACTAAGCATGTACACCCACGTGATATACAAGGGAAGAAGGAGCTCTGCCCTTATCAGGACCCTCCTTTGTGCCTCCTGGATTAGCACAGGCGTCACTATTCTCCTCCCAGAAGATTATAGAAGATTAACCTGTCACTGAAAATTCTTACAAAAGCAGCTTCCCTCTCCTCCTTTTACTTGGTGTTCAAACGTATGCGATGTAACACAAGCCGCGCTCAACGAGGCGATCGGCTTATCAGTAGTATCAATAGTCGAGCGCCGGGCCGGCCGAGCACGTCACTCACGTCTTTCACGGCGCTGGCGCCACCCGTGCTCTCCCCGGGAAAGAAAACAAAATTGAAAAAAAAAAAAAAGAAGCTGTACATGTTTGATGACGTCGCGGACGTGCCGGGAGAAGGAATTTGGAGGAAGCGGAAATGCAGCCGGGCAGTGTTGTCTGGCCCGCACGTCTCATCCAAAACCAGCGGATTCGTGCTTGTCAAACTTTGACAGCGATTTTAATGAACTTCTAGGCGGAATTCCGTCGTAATATTTGCCATGGGGGTTTTGTAGATGATAACAAAGATAACTGTATAGTTTTGCACTACTGGAAAAGAAGCGGAGTTGCCCTTTAAAGGGCCACTGAAGTGCTTTTTGTAGGAGCTTGTTTTTGATGGCATATTGTTTGTCGGGTTTTAGTCAGTAAAAATGTCCAGTTCTAGATGGCAAGTTCTAGTAAGTTTGCAGCAATAGAAATGCACGGGCACTAATTTCTCTTGGGGAAGGGGGAGGGGCATCCTTGGGTCCCCACCACCTTCATAAAATTTTACCAATGAAAATAGTTAATTGCATAGAGATTCAATATATTATCATTACTCATCTTCTTAGGTGCGTTGTGCATTATACTCCGAGGCAAACGTCAAATCTTGTATGTGTAGTAGACGTAATACAGCAATTGTTTGAAAACACCATCCAGTGGCACCCCCTAGCGTCTGCTCCAATGCACAGAAAGAGGGGCCTGTCAGGATCTTTGATTAAATTTTAATAGGAAAATCGGTAATTTCGGGTTTTTACGGATGCTTAGAGCCCGTAGATTGACTTATCGCCATAAATAGTCAACCTCAAACTTTGCTCGTGGTGCCCCTTTAGTTGTTCACCTTGTATACAAGCGGTATGCTTGTGCAAATGATTCGTGGATTTCTAGACCTCTCAAAGTTGGTAGACCATGTAGAGGCCATAAAAATGTGAAGGAAGAAGAACTGCACGACTGCACTTTTAAGGTGAAATTCTGCACCCAAAGTGCTTCAATGCTCATCTGGTAGTCTCATCTCGTTAATGTGGACACCTCCGTTCTCCAGAAAAATTGTTCAAAATGTGAGTTCATAATTAACAAACGAAGGTCAAGGTCAATTGCAAAATAGCAGGGTATCCACATTAACAGGATCCACATTAAAATGAGACGTGACTATACCCCACCCTGTTTCGGGGGTTTCTTGCGAACCTGGTAGAAGCGTCAGAGGTGGCCTCTTGCAGATCCTGCCTTACATTGATGGCTTCAGGCATGTCGCTAAGATTGCCATCGAGGCCGATGTGGAGGTGAGCCTCGTCAAGGAGTGCATTCGGAACATGCTGTGAGTCCCGTCGCCTCGTTTCTTTCAAAGTTGGCTTTCGTCTGCTCGTTTTAAGTCGTCCTTCACCTTCCCGCGGGTTCTCCAGGTACTATGGTATAGTCCAGCTGATCCCGCTGTTCCTGTACTCCGCCGTGTACACGACGACGCCCGAAATCCGCAGTCTGGCGTCCGACATTGCCCTCCAGAAAGAGTGCATCGCTTATGTTGCCAGGCAAGGTTAGCGAGACATTTTTTGGGGTTTGTGTGGCGTCTGCCGATGCTTGTTTTACTATTAGGGTGGACTGCAGTTGTATGTGCGTACAGTTTCCCACTTCTCACTCACATCAGCACAGTGCTAATATGTCGATTAACGCCGGATGTTCTTGAACTTTTTAATCTCGAGGAACCCCCGTTTGCCTTGAATGGCAGCCAAGAGACCCCTCCCAATCTAAGCGTTGATCCAGGAAAGCAGTGCAGAAGCTTACAGACCTTATACGAAATAACACACATCCTATGTTTGGCTCGTAGTTATACATCAATGGGTGGCCGGGGTTGGCTAAAATGTTGCTTGGACTGTAAAAAACGCTTTGCGTGAGAGGGCTGGTGAAGGATCTCTGGGAACCTATGAGGGTACTCAGGAAAGCTTCTGGGTTCTTAGAAACCCGGTTCAGGTATAAATCTTCTCACGTGACGTTGCATGGCCACTGCCATCTTGAAATCACGGGACAATCTGCTTCAAGGAACTCCACCGTGGCGCAAAAGAAGAAGATGTGGGCTCGCCTTTGTGTCGATCATCGGTGCTCCTGATCGAGGGGGCATTGGCGTGAGCTTGGCGCATTGTCGGTGTCGAAGTGACATGTCGACGTCCTTTTCAGGTCGGCCAAGGCCTTCGTTCCGCTCTGTCTTCGAGATGTACTGCAGCTTCCACCTGAGCAACAGCGTCCGTGATATCTGTTCGCGCACAAATCCCCATGGCCTCGGCATCGACGAGAGGTGATGTTGCCAACTCAATTTTGGCCCGGTTTCTTGGAGACATTATCTCCGAAAGGCCTCTGACACCCTGAAAAATCATTTGTTTCTTGATGCAATGCACCGGAGCAGGGGTTCACAAACTTTTCGCTCTCGAGGAATGCTCATCTGCCTTGATTTAAAGCCAAGGAACTCGCCCTACAGGTCTCTGCATTGGCATAATAAAGCAGTGCAGAAGACTACTGACCTTGTAAACAATAATGCTTATAATAAAATGAGTGTTTGGCACATAGTTATGCATCAATGGATCGAGATCTAAAGTAGTGCTTTAACTGTAAGAGCACTTTACTTAGGGGCAGGACAGTTGAAGAGGTTCCTGAAAGTACCCCTCGGGGTACTTTTGGGAACCTTTCTGGGGACCCTCCTTAAGAACGCGTGCGCTAGAGTAGGGTGTTGGAACACCAGACACACCATCCAATTAATTTCTTGCTGCGGAGTTGTATATTTGCCGAGAGAAATAAACAAAGCCGTACCGCTAAAACATCTGTGCGCCCAATGTCGCGTGGCGTGAAGCGATCACGTAACCACAATGGGTTTCTTGATTACGTAAGAGATATATATATAGAATGTTTTTTCTAAAAGCTACACTAATTTTTTTTTTTAAATCTGTAAAAGCTACATTTATACAGTTTGTGCAGGTGAGTTATACAGCCAGGGGGACATAGTATAAGGGGCTAATCCTAACGTCGGTCGGCTAACTAACTAAAATTAGTGAAAGTGAAAATAGACGTATGGTTCCAATTAGAAACTTGCTGAGCATCATTTAAAACCACTAAATCAGTAATTTTTAGAAAGACTGAGCGCGTGAGAAGTGCAGTAGTGCGCTAAAGTTACCACTCGTACAACACGAGCAAGGCTATAGCGGTGCGAAAAGGTGCCCGCGCAATTTTCCTGTCTCTTACCATAGCCCCAGCCTTGTACCTGCTGCAAGAGGTGGTACCTTTAGCGCACTACTATAGTCAGTTACAGGTTAAGAAGGTAGCGGCAAATGCCCCTCAAAGGGAATCAGATATCCCTCCGCCACCTCCGTATCCAATAGCGTCCCACCGTTTCCGTGACGTCGCGGCCAACGCGCGAGGAAGGGCTTGCCTTTCTGTACATATTTGCTTTATCTTTCGACTTTTACTTAGCATTGCGGAAGGCACGAGAGGGAGATTAGAGTTCTCCCCCACCGACGGAAACAAATACGACTTTCGGGGATTAGCTTCCCGCCCGATGGATACAAAGGCTGCTTTCAGGGGCTCGGTTCCCTCTCTGTTAAATACAAAGGTCGCTTTCTTAAAAAGTGGGATCGGAGACAAGTTGGAATCCGTTGAAGCGGAACAAGGAGCGTTTCCAGTGAACTCTTCTTTCGACTGCGGAGAGATTTGAAACGGGCGCATCACGCTTGTGGGTGGAGCTTCTCTTACCTTCTTGACTTGTAACCGACTATACACTTTCCACGCGCTCAGGGTACTTCTAAAAATTATTGATTTAGTGGTTTTGGATGATGCTCAGCAAGTTTCTGATTGGAACCATATGTACATTTTTACTAATTAATAAGTTAATCTACACATTTTACATAATTAGCTGACTGATCGGTATTATTAGCCCCATATACTATGTCCACCTGGCCGTATAACTCGCCTGCACAAACCATGTAAGTGTAGCTTTCACGGCTTTTTTTATTTTTAATTAGTGTCACCCTTAGAAAAAAACACCCTGTATATTATATACTTATAGTTAAGTTGTAAGCTATAAGTGTGTTTTTAGTTCTGTATGCAGAAATGTTTCTCTTGTAAAGAATATTCTGTATGTATGCATAATATGAACTGTTTTGCTCTCGTTTTAGAAAACTGGTCCAGTTTGGCGTCATGAAAGGCCTTTTGCGACGTATTCACAAGTACCCAATTGACTTGAAGATGTCCTCCAATGCTCCTTCGAAAAGCAAGGTGGTTGGAAAATACTGCGACGGCACTCACAGCTATGATGACATTTGTGCAAAGACTGGTTGGTGTATATGCTCTCGTTTTTTCCTTTGACTAAATTAGAGCTATGGACAGAATTAGAATTAGCTTAGCCTAAAGATGGGTGTTCGTATGTTTTTGGACATTCAGAAAGTCGTCTACCAGATGTTATTTTCCTTAATTTGCTGCTCCTTGCAATATGTGTGGCTTCTCTACGCAGCTTAATTCATACACGACTGTTGAGTGGTCAATACATTTTGCAAAACTAGGAGTAATAAAAAAAAAAAAACAAACATTGGTAGTGACAAAAACAATATTTGTAAAGGAAATTAGGTACTGTATTGAATTGCGGGGAGATCTGTTAACATATTCAATTGACTTGGTTAGCTCAGCCAATTGGCTCAGCTGCCATTAGATATCTGGAAATGGTGAATCGTGTATTAAAGGGCAGCTCCGCCGTCAATTTGAGCGTTTTTTTCAAAACATATTTTTGGAAAGGGTACTAAAAATTTAGCCTATAGCACCGGTTAAATCATGAAAAAACTGTTTACATAATTTTTAATCGTTAAAATACGCTGAAACCGATACCGAAACTAACTTGCCACTCGACTGGTCCGCCATTTTGACGTGACGTCAGATATGGTATGAACACTTGCACGTGTGCAGTTTGAGCCTGGACAGCCTGGCAGCAGGTCACTGTTTTGTGTTCGTGCCGCGGATAAAAATGGACTCATCAGGCTCGCCTGAATCGAGCAACGATGAGGATATGCTGCTAGATGTTGAGGACGATGACGATAACCCGTTCTCATACGATCCGCCGGCATCGCCTCCGAGAAAACCGCCAGCGGCGGCTGCATTCGTGATCTGCTGCCATGTGGACCCAGATGCCGCTTCCGAAGCGGAATGGTAAGGCAGCTTTCGTTGCTAGCACGCCAAGAAAAACTGATCGACGTTATGCCTTTTAATTGGAGGCACTTTTTGTTATATCTTGGGGTCTGACAATAGACGGTTTTAGTAGACCGTGTTTTCAAGCGACGCTTCCACACACAACACCAATTTCCTCCAGTCGCCATTACGCGCTCTTACATAACTGTATAAACCGATAACATAAGCAAAAAGCAGACAGTCGCTAGCACCAACTAGCTACAAAGCAAGCACCCTGACCAACATGTGACGTCACGGCAACGTCAGCGCCATCATGGCAGCCTCCGTGTGTCGCTCTTGCTCAGTGTTGCCAGTAGGGCTGCAGCAAGTGATTTGGGTGTGTACATGTAAATTTCAAAATTCATTTTCTTCTAAAAAAAATTTATATTTTTCCGAGATATTTTGTACACATGATCAGGAAGGGCATCCAAATACATGGTGAAAATTTGATAGAAATCGGTGACCATCAAAATTACGGCGGAGATGCCCTTTAACTAACTCTAGCTTTTCTTGGTTTCTTGCAGCATAGCTTTTTTTTAGTATTTTTGTGGCGATCAAAATTTAATTTGGTGTTCTTGTGTGAACAGGGCTCAGCTACAAGGAGCTGGACGACATACTCGACAAGGATCCAAATGTCTGTGTCTGTTGGAAGTAGGTGCTGCTGACAGGGTGCCTGTAAATATATTGTATATTCGTGTGGAATAAATCGATTTATGAATTAAATTTCCTCTAACAAGTGTGCTTCAGTTGTTCGCGTATAAGATTATTTTGAGTTTTTGATAGTGCAAGAATGCTTGCAAGTTTTGGCGAGTTTTTAACATATATGGACGAGCAGATTTGAAAGATGCAGTGTGCAGAAGTCCACATGTGGGTTCTAGGAATAACCGAATGCTTCAAGAATTTGTTCAACACTAAAATCTGTTTCTACGTTGCTTATGAGTCATTACCAAGGAGCCTCCGAGCCTCCTTGTAATACCTTCGGACCATGAGAGACATAATAAATGAAAATAAATGACAATGAAAAATCGCAGCCTGCGAAATTCACTCGCAGTCATATTCGAAACCGAAACTACAGCGGATCGCGACTCCACCTGGATACTGCATAGTTCTTGTAATAATAGGCTTTGAACTTACATGTATGCAATCTATCGTTCAATTCTTTCTATAATGACCATATTTCAGTGACCCTGGCTTTGTTTTAACAATAGACTACTTCCATAAAGCCCAACGATAAAGCCCTACATGCAACACGGCGCGCGTTGCACTCTGGGAACTAGTTGGCCAGCCAGGGAGGAGGGTAGCATGGTTTCGGTTTCGATCGACACGTCGACATGAGATTATACACAGAGCGTGGACTATTAACGGCCGTTATCTCATGTTTTCTGGTCCCAAGAGCGTCATTTGTGGTCTCCAAACTAACCTAAATGGCCAGACCTCGAAGCTTTGGACAAGCCCGAGACGTTTAGCTTGTCTTAACTCATGCTTGTTGTATTTTTGTACTTGAGCCTTTCTGTTAGCGTTCCAATCGAGGTATGCGGACGAGCCAGTGCCGGGAATCTCGACGCTGCGAAGCTCGGGGATCTTGCTTGTTTACAAATCAACAAGTTCTAGCAACCAATAAGTATGCATACATCGAGTTTGCGCCTTTACATTAGTGTTGTTGATCAGGAAGTTTGTTTGTTTCGTGCGTCCATAGACGAAATATCACTTTTTGCAATTACTGTTTTTCTTAATACGCCTGAGTACGTGAGGTAAAACTCGGAGGCGCCATTGAAAAGCTTAATTTTAACACACTTCTTGTCTCTTATCTGTACTGACTCGCAGCACTACACGAAGTGAGGTCCCCACCCGCTTGCATTCCATAATGTTCAACATGGCGTATGCGCATAAAGTTACCCTGCAATCATATAGGCACATTCGCTCATACAGACCGTTTTTAGAAAGCAAAAGTCGAGCACTTGTGTGAAGAATGTTGCACCGTTCGCCGGGAGTGCGCCGGAGGGGCATGAACCCCTATGCGGTGCGCCAAACGCACGAAATTATTCATGAAAAAATAGTCAGAGTGCAGGCGAGCTGGTGTAAGTTGAACATGATTGTAAACCTGAGACTGGGGCAGAAAAGAGAACACAACAGAAGGTATAGTAAAAGAGGAGGCAACCTCCTCTTTTACTACCTTCTGTTGTGTTCTCCCTTCTGCCCCAGTCTCAGGTTTACAATCATGTTGAAATTATTCAAAGCGCGCGTTTGACGGTTGCTAATGGCCATAATATTTGTTATGTGTTTGCTTTCTTCCTGCCTGAGTATGTCGAGATAATTTCAGACACACCGTTCAGGCACAGATCTTGGGCGTCAGTAAAAGCTCGTCCAAAAAAAATTAGCGAGGAGTAGGGGACGCTTGTTAGGGCCTCCGTCGTAGCTAGCCGATCTCAGCGTTTGCGAAAACTTAATCTTCTATCAGCATAAAATTTGAGTGGGAGATATATGATGACACGAGGAAGGCATCATAGTAACTTTTGTGCAGTAGTGAGGTCGAATTTATAGCGTTTCCTTAAAAGTTGATGCGTCAACGCTGGGCTCATTAACTTTGATACTCCTGCGAGAATGAGGCTTGCTTTTTGCCCAATGAAGTAACAAGAAGCGGACGTATGGCAAACAAAATAGGTGAAAGGCTCCAGATGAACAAATTTCAGTTCTTGTTAACTGGTACTAGACGGGATTATTGAAATTGAACTCAAAGATGCACTCGTGGGGTGAGGTGACTGAGGCACGTCTTACTACGTTTGCATACGCACTCATAACTTCCGGTGTTTCGGGAACGAAGAAAAGTGTTCCGGTCTTTGTTTTGTATCGCTCGAGAATGAGTGTATTGTACGCTCGTGAAAAGTCAGATAATCGAAAACGCAAGCAGCGCGTTCGGTCGCGGCGTGATAGCAAGAGATGAAGATGCTCAGTCGAAACCGAAACTGAGTGGCCAACTAGTTCCCAGAGTGCACTGCGTGGTATTTCGCCGCGATGGGGCGCGTCGGTTTTGGAAGAAGTCCATTAAACTGGAGTTACTCTAGCCTACCTGCCAAGGTCATTTGTGACGTCATCCAGTTGGCAGAGCACAATCGCTGTTCAAACCGATTGAACGCACTGCGGCTTGTTTACAATACAAAACGACCACGGGACCACGACTCTGAAGACGTTTCGTGGGTTTCATGGTTGGTTTCGTGCACAGTGGTCTCGCGTGGTTACAGTTACGGCGCTTCAACTTCAGATTAACGCCGTGACAGCTCCGCCTTGCGATGGTCGAAACGTGTCTCGAGCAATGCAGTAAATTATTGAGCAGCGTAAGTCATCCTCGTTGCAGTGGGTTTTCAAACGTTCATTTTGGTACCTTGGTTTTAGCTTCGAGATGCCGGCGTGTTACAGTCCTTCAAGCTCGAATACGACGTTGCGGAACACGTAGTAGGTCCGCCGAAGGCCGCCTCTGTCCAGACGGCCATACACGATTTCATCAAGTGTTTAGAAGACTACAAGGTGAAGTGACCACGCATCATTGTTAAGCTGTGCTTGTGAACTCCGACACACTCGTTTGATATTGCTTTTGTTGCCTCTCACCTAGAACAAGCTGTCAAATGTCGAAGTGCGTGCCGCTGTTGACCCCAAGATCGTGCAGATCCAAGTAAATCGAAAAGTGGTAAGTCCACTCTTGCTCAGCGCCTTTCACGTGTGACCGGTGCAAGTGCGATTCGTTTTGTTCGACACTCAACATCAACTTCCCACTCCAGATCGACGATAGGATCGATGCTTTCATAACGAGAAAAAGGAAAGAGGTTGACGACTGGAATGTACAGGAATTCTGCAGTTCCAAGGCTTCCGAAATCGACAACGAGACAGGTAAGAGATGCAACCACGGGCAGACGTGTGCCAAACTTCATCTGAGCACACCAAAGCTACAATGAGTCAATTAAGCCAAAGATATAATTTGACTTAGCATGAAAAATAAGGTTTGCATTGTGCCATTGCATATGATGTCTCGCGTCTTTCTGAACATATGGCAAAAACTCATTTCTTGTTTGGAAAAAAAAAAATTACAGGAGGATGCAAGCTTTTCCTTAAGGAGTGGAACGCGATAGCAAAACATATAAACTCCCGCTCGTCCCCAAGCATAGCCTCCTTTATACTAAAATGTCTGATCATCTGCACGGCACGCCAGCCTTTGGCGACGTCGGGGCTAGTTTCAAGGCGCCCCGTAGCGGCGCCCCGCTACGGGGTGCCACCAGCCGTAAATGGAGCAGACTACGCCACGGCCATAGCAGTAGTGCGTGACGCCACACACCAGGTTCAGGGAGAGAGATCCACAATGCGTATCTGCCATATTCATGCAAATGTGCAAAAACAGTATCAAATGCTCAACTAGCTCTGTAATGTGACGATCTCGGATACGATTTTAACTGTTTCGTCTCGTCTCTGCCTTTCGGTCCTGGAACAGAAACATGTCCCGGTAGAGATTACTTGCAAGCACACTGTATCGACCTGATAATAAAATACCAAATAAAACTTAAAAGAGCAGCTAATCTGAAGGCCCGTTCACTCGCTTGCGCTTGATTACGAACGACTTGGACAAGACCGGTTTTTAAGCGTTTTGTGACGGCTTACGACCGGCGGCTGCATTGCTGTGCATCTGGTTGTAATCCATCTTAAGAGGCTTAAAAAACTGGTCTCGTCTCAGCCGGAATCAAACACAAGCGTGTAAACGGGCCTTAAGCCTCTTGGCGAAATGTCGGCTGCCGTTCCGAGGTTTGCATAAAGCACCCTTCTCAAATACTTGCATCTAGCCTCACTGTAGAATAAAAAAAGAGTGTAGAGTATGAGAAGAGGAAAACAAGACAAGTGCTTGCCCTGTGTTCCTCTTGTCCTCGTCTTTTGCGGCATTTTTATTCTACAGGGTGATTTAAGGAGACGCCAGGCTCTTTAAATCGACCGCAAAATTCGGTTTCTTAACCTATCGTGCTACTATTTTGTGCAGCGTTGCCTACAGATGGTGCATTTTTTTTTGTAAAATTTGCAAGAGCAAACTTACCTGAGGAAAAAGTAAAGAAAGAAAAAGGCTTAGCTCCTTTGGAAACGCAGCGACGCCACCGGTCTTCAAACAACATGGCACTGTTTCGCACGGGAGACAAGAGATGGCGCAAGCGGTCGCGACGCCAACTGCCGCCAACGAACGAGCATACGACGCCGAGAGCTGGCGTCTTCAGCAGACAAGAATCTGCAGTTCCTTGTTGTTACCGCGCCCGTTTTTGTTTCTGTGACTGTCGCCGCCTGCGGAACGCGCGCCGCTTTTGAGTTGAAAAGATTGCCTGCTACGGACGCCGGCTCTCAGCGCCATATGCTCGTTCGTTGGCGGCGTTCGTTGCACCATCTCTTGTCTCCCGTGCGGAACGGCACCGTGTTGTTTGAAGACCGGTGGCGTCACTGCGTTTCCATAGGAGTTAAGCCTTTTTTTTTTTTCTTTACTTTTTCCTCTAATAAATTTTTTTTTGCAAATTTTACAAAAAAAAAATGCACCATTTGTGGACAACGCTGCACAAAGTCGTAGCACGATAGGTTAAAGCACCGTTCACACTCTTGCGACCGACTTCGACCGAGAGAGACCAGACCGGTTTTTAAGCCTTTTGTGACTTCTTAGGACCGAATGCGCGGCAGCGGAGCTGGTCCTAAGAGATCGCAAGAGGCTTAAAAACCGGTCTGGTCTCTCTGTCGTACTCGGTTGCAAGAGTGTGAATGGGCCCTAAGAAACCGAATTTTGCGGTCGATTTAAAGAGCCTGGCGTCTCCTTGAATCGCCCTGTATAGTGTTCAACAACCGGTCCATAGGATGATTTGGATGCTTTTTCATTCATTCTCTGCTAACAGATTACTCAGAAGAACTGTTTGTTCATGCCATATTTTACTTTCAGAAAAAATGCAAATGCAGGCTCTGAGTCTATTTACATTTTGAGGTCCTTTCGTGACTGAGGCTTTTACGAGAATACTTCGGCCAGGTCTTTCTTGTCTGTCACAGACGAAGCCTAGTTTGTAAACAGAGGTCTGAAAAACTTTGTTCAGACAAGCTCCGGGAGCTGTAAATGATGCTCGGTGTCGAGTTCACAGTTCAACACCCCACAGTCCACAAGAACAGGAACGGCGTTCTTGACAGCTTCATGTAACGGTCTTGTCAGCAGTCTTCCCTTGTTGAGGATAGCCTCAACCCTCAATGTGTGATGCTGTCGAGAAGACAGCTTAATGCTGGTCTTGCCACGCCTTGGTCCGTTATAAAGCTAGTCAAGCCGTCAAGCCATGCTTCCATGCCAGGCCAGCCACCCCGGGCTGGTGGTGCTGCCTTGCAGAGACACATGGCCAAAGAGCAAGAGAGGAGGAAAGAGCGGACATTGGTTTTGTTGCCTTTAGCCATGCATTCCAGTATAAAGGAGGCGATGTCCCAAGCCGTGGAAGCGTGCCTTGCGTGGCTTAGTCATTAGCGTGTCTGGCTCGTAACCGAAGGGTTGTAGGTTTGAATCCCGCCTAAGATTCTTTAAATATTTCTTTAAGGCCAATGAATTACTTTATAAAGTGAAATCATTTGAGACAGGCGGCGACCTTTAATTCGCATTACATGTCGTGTTTTTTTAATCACTCTCATTCCACGTGCGACGTCGCGTTTCATGCGAGCGTCGTGGGTTGTTTGAAATTCCTGCGCGAGGTCATGTGGCTGTGGCATCACGACCCTGTCGACCAATCCTGTATTTTAGCACACGCCACCGATGCCGGCTTTTCTGCGACACAAATCCCTTAACTCTATCGTGTAAAAAAAAAAAAAAAAAATTAGTTTTTTTTTTTTATTGGAGTAGGAAGTAGATGGAGATCCGTGGATAGTTTTTTGAGTGTGGCATAGGTTGCACTCAAATGTCAGCAGTGTCTGACAAAATAAATATTAAAATGTATAGAACAACCTCAACGTTGCACCTTGCCATGTTCCAGAGTATGGTTGTGCTAGGGTTGACGCAGTCTTTGTTCCAAGGTCTGGAGGCTGTAGTCACGTCAAAGGTATGCAACACAATTTGAGCCATTTTATTCGTCAAAGCGCAAATTATTTCATACTTTTTCCAGTTTCAAGGGTTGTGAACCAGTGGGGGCCCATGACAAAGCTCATGAGGCCGGCCCACAACCCCCACGGGCCGACGGGGTCCAAGGAGGAAGAACCCGCCGCCAGAATACCCGAGGGCATCGAGGAGCGACTGCGAAACATGGAATCTCACCTGAAACTCAAATCTGGTACGAGTCGGCATCACCGACCGTCAATTTGGGAGGCTCGCAATTGCAAACGGACGAGCGCACAATTTTAAAATGCCGCCGGTCTTGATCGGAGGCGCTTCTCGGCCGCGGCGAGCGACACGGGCACGTGCGATCATTGATCGCACACTCGATTTAAGGTTGCACAGAGTAGAGAGCGGTGAAATCGAGAGAACTGGTATCGCGTCGCCGCACACTTGGGTCCTTAGACGTGGTGCCTCCAAACCTAATGCCACATGTCGCAGCAGTAACACGTCTGAACTAGCCCATAGCCAGTCAGCCTAAGAAGCGCGGGGGATGGCTTATTGACTGCACGCTTCCCAACTCGCCCTTGGGTGTTCTTATTGGCTAACGCTGCATTCATGCGGAGCGACACCAAGAATGTTTGGGACTTTCCAAGCCCTGAACTTCTTAAGCCATCAATGTCTATAGATTGTCAAAAAAAAAAAAAGAGGTGTGGCACGAACAGAGCTAAGCTTGTCTCCTTAGATATAATGTCCAGACACGCTGGATATATGTTGTCTAAAAATTTAAGTTTTAATCCTTGCATTCAATGCCTTTCCCGATTTCAGGCTGCTCGGTTCCCCAGGACGTGTACGTGAGAATAAAACAACTGGAGGACAGGATCCTTTACCTGGAAGGCATTTCACCAGACTACTTCATGAGCAGCAGTGTGAGTTTCCCTCTGTAAAGCACACACGTGAGCTTGTTTGGCCACATTTAGATCATGTCAGGAATGCATCCGCTGAACTCTGTAGTGAAGTTCACCTCCAGATGCCTTTGGCACCTGTCAGATTAGAGCTGCCATTGCTGACCTTCCCTCGCACTACTGAAGCGGGTAATGACAAACTTAAGCAAATGCTTGTTTTTGAGACTAGGGTGCTGTGGGTGCTGTGGGCAGTAAGCCGTCCTGTTGCCATAGCGATAAAGTGAAGCGAATGGAATTATAGAAAACGAGTGAACTAAAAGCATCTATAATGAATAGTGCACTTATACAAAGCGAATCTGTTCTGCAGATCGAAATCTGTTTGACCATTCTATATTCGCAATTTTTCCTTGACCACTCTAAATTCACCATCATTCCACATAACAGATTTCATAACATGTATCTTTGGGAGCTTTCCCGACGCATTCTAAAAATGGATGGAGGTATAAATGCTTGCAAGTACCTAGTCTCTGTGTGCCGCCATTATACCGCTGGTGCAGGCTTAATCACTCCTTTGAGCCTTGCCATGGGCTATGTTTTTGAAGAGCCCCGGCTATGCTTTAAAGGGAAGATGGGGCACTTCTACATTTGAGAAAAAATGCTTGAATTGAGTTCATTTGGCCTTTAGAATAACAGATATCACAATTATATTTCAATGCAACGCGCCGGAGAGCCATAAGAGCAATTTGAAAATAGGGCTGAAGCCCCGCCTCCCTAGCCTTGGCAAGCCAAAAGATCCGTCGATGACGTCACGTACAGCGACTATCTTTCGCGTTTTTCTCGCGTTTAAAAATACTTGCGCGGCAAATGTTTTTGGTATTCGGGTTCATGGAGTAAAAATGCACTAGAATTCACTTCTAACTCATATTTTTCAAGAAGCTCCATAGCTTCCCTTTAAGCATATACACAGTTTCTTTTTATAGGCCAACTTTAAAATATAAAACACTTGAAATAAACAAATGATTCCTCTGGGGCAGACTTGTACGTAACGCGTTACAAGTAATTGATTACTTGTAATCAATTACAGTTAAGTGTAATTTTGTAACGCTTCAATTACATTTGTCAAGCTGTAACGCTCGGAGTAATTCAATTACTTTTTTCCTGTAATCAATTACAAAATCAATTACACAATTACGAATTACATTTTTCATCCCACAATTCTTTTTTCTCACAAAAATCAGCATAGTCACTCAGCCATGGAGGAAAAATGATTGACATTTTTTTAACATCTAAAAAAAAATAAAACTAGGATTAGTCGGCAAATCCTTTTTTCTTTTACGCCACGCTCTTCTACAAGCGCGCCACCAGCCTTGGCTGGGGAGTTCCGGATCTCGTTGCAGATTGCCGATAAAGTCGACGGGAAGCGGGAACTCGCTATTGACTTTTTAGTGGGCTTTGTTCCTTAGGTCGACGCGTCAGCTACACGACAAGGTCCGGGTCTGAAAACAAAAAAGGGAACAATAACCAAACAAAATTGTGTACGCAATATTTTACTGTGTATTTGTGTATTTCTGTCATCGCAATAAGAAGTAACGTGAAAGTAACTTGAAAAGTAATCAATTACTTTGCAGTAATTGTTCAATTACTTCTGGGAGGCAGTAATCAGTAACGGTAATCGGTTACTTTTTTGACTGTAGTAATTGTAATTGTAATCAGTTACTTTTTTTCAGTAACGTGTACAAGTCTGCTCTGGGGTAACAGTCAGGTTTGGGTTGTAGCTCGTTGTCGAAATATGCCATGGTAGGTTGTTAGATTTCAGAAAACTAAATCCTGGTTTGTGCTATTCTCGAGGTATTGAAACTCCTACGCAAAAGAGCAAAGAAACGCCCTATCTTAAATGGATGTCGGACTACGCAGCGAGAGTGGGCAGCAAGCAAGTGAGCCGATCGGGCAGTGGCATGATGTATGTGGATCGTGAGCTCGTAGAAACGGTGCATCTTTGAGGCTATTGTGTAGCACATCAACGATTGTGTTGCATTCGTGCCCCTGCGTCTGCCCCAGTCGGTATAAGATTGTTTTGAAGAAATGCTTCTTTTTATTTCGAGTCTTCCTTTTACACGAGCCCCTATGTTGATGTACAATGCAATCAAGTGCTAGCGTGACGGGCTCGATGAAATGCACTTCGGCTGCTCTTGTGCACGCTACGTGTTCCCCGAGGCTCCAAACCAGAACACATACTAACCGTCAAGATTGCAGTGGAACGTTCCAAGAAAGCAACGAATGGTAAAAACGAGAAATTAAGCTAGGGAGGCTGCGAGGGAGCTGCGGGCACCGCCAGCTCGGTCGCGCACGCGACAATTTTGGGTTTGTATTTTGCCACCTACAATATAGGCCATTTCAGAATAGAGCCATTTTGAATACTCAAAATGGCTAGTGCCATTTTGAGTGTTTTGTGCGTGTGGCGCGTGCCCTGCTGGCTTCCTGAAGCGACGAAGAGGCACGTGCCGAGCCGAGGAGACTGCACGCTGGGCTGTGGATTTGTGAAGATTGGAATGGCATATAGAATGTAGGGAGGGTGACAGAAGTGAACTGTAACATAAGGACGATAAGCTGAAAACACCGTTTCCGCTGTGAAACTTGTAAAATTAAGTGGACCAATTCTTTTTTTCTTTCTCTTTTTCGTTGTCATTAAAGACTCAAGGGGCCGGTGCCGCAGAGCCAAGACGTGCATCGGGAGATACCTCGAGGCACTATGACGTGAGTGATGTTTTTAAGAACACATTTTGTCTTGGGTTGGTTGTGGTTACGCAGCTCTTAGGATTAAGCAGAATATAAGAAAAAATAAAGCTGACGAAAAAAAGTAAGGCAGTCCTAGGAAATAATAATTATGTTCTGGAAAAATGAGGGATTTGCATTATTGGCCGTAGTGGGCTTTGCATTCTGGCAAATTTGACCCAATGTGAGAGAAAAGACGAACTGTAGACACCTTACAGTATGAATCAGTTGTGAAAGGAGGAACAAAAAGTGAAAGCCGTTTACAACTCCCTGTAACACTGAATTAGAGCGCAGCTCTTGAGGAGGAGGAGGGAAGGGTACTGGGGGGTGAAGTGACCTGGGGGGGGTCACGTGACATTGGGGAGTCATGTGACCATGCCGATGATGTCATCAGTGACGTCACTGATGACGTCATCAGTGACGATGACGATGCGGACTCCGATGACGTCATCAGCGATGATGACGATGCGGATGTCGGTGACGTCATCAGTGACGTCACTGATGACGTCCTCTGTGATGATGACGATGACGATGCGGATGCCCCCCCGAAGTCACGTGACACCCCCAGGTCACGTGACCTCCCCGATGACGTCACCGGCATCCGCATCGTCATCGTCACTGATGACGTCATCAGTGACGTCACTGATGACCTCACCGGCATCCGCATCGTCATCATCACTGATGACGTCGTCAGTGACGTCACTGATGACGTCATCAGTGATGACGATGACGATGCGGATGCCGGTGACGTCACTGATGACGTCATCAGTGATAATGACGATGCGGATGCCGGTGACGTCATCGGGGAGGTCACGTAACCTCGGCGGGGGTCACGTGACCCTGGGGGTGGTCACGTGACCTGGGGGTGTCACGTGACTTCGGGGGTGGTCACGTGACTTTGGGTGTCACGTGACCTTGGGGTGACCTTGGGGGCCACGTGACCTTGGGATGACCTTGGCTACGCCGACGGCGACGCCGCTCAAGCCGGGAACGGGCCCCTAAGAGCTGCGCTCTAAAATATAATGGGCAGTCCCGCGTTCATCCACGGCCGCGACACGTCACGTCGTCGGCTCATTTGGCTTCGTTCCCACGAGCGTGCACCTCAAAGGTCTCTCTGCAACAAACGGCCAGACGTGTCGTTGTCACCGCCGGCGCATCTTTCAGCGTCTTTCACAAGCGCGACGTCGGGACACCTGCGTCTGCCGCTTTGTGCCATACTCTCGCCGAGTTTCAGCGCGTTTGCCGCTTCGGGCTGCTCGGAGATCCACTGACAACGATGTAATGCGGAGGCCCCCTTCTGGGTGGGATTGGGTGGATGGATGTGGCAGCTCGCGCCACCTAGCCAAAGTTTTTAAGTGCAAAAACTAACTGCGATTAAATTTGAAATGAATTAAGAATAACCAGGAATTTTCCATCGCGATGTCCCAGCAACTGTGGCCATCTAGGAGGCACTGCTCGAAACTTGTACTCACGTTCGTTCCACGAAAACCGAAAAATAAAGCGGATTGCCAATCCTGCGGTGTAGCTCTGTGGCGACGCGCCTGCTTCACGCGCGACGGACCCAGGTTCAATTCCAAAGCGCGTCCGGCGACCTTTTTTTCGAGCAGTTGGCGACTGATGCTGTACGTTCTACTGCGCCAACCACAACATCAGCTATTACAACCAACTATTGCTGTAAAAGAAATTTGATTTAAATATAACTATTAATGTAAAAGTGATTAGACAAAAAAGAATAATTTGAAATTGTTTCTTATTTTAAAGATAGACAGGCACCTTGTCCTGGTGGGAAAAGAATGCCTGGAAGCACATTCTCTGAGAAGCATGAAAAAATGCTCCACATTATTGTGGAGACAGGTTATAACAAAGTCAACGGGAATCTGAAGTCACTTCGCTATATCCGCTATTTCGTTATAACCGAGTTCGGTTATAACGAAGTGCAAAAGGAAATGGGAAATCGCTTCGCTGTAGCTGCTATTTCGTTATAACCGACTTCGTTATAACTGGTCTCGGCAGTAGTCTGTTTAAAGGAGCCGTGCAACAATTTTAACGTTGAAAGAATTGGCATCTTTTACTTTGGACATTGTTCATCTTCTCACAAAGGAAAGAAAACACACCTCCTTCCTTCAAGATGTCGCGATTCCGCCGCATAATCGCGAGGCAAAAATTAGAATATTCCCCGACCTGCAGCCGCGAGTGGCGGCCATGAGAAACACGTGGCATGACGTCAATGGGGGTCTTGTAGAAAGGTAGCAAGTTGTGCGAACACCTAAAAGGCAATTTTTCTATAAATCTTGTAATTCCAACATAAATATAAATGCGTCAAAAACCTGGTATAGTCGACAAAACATTTATTATACGGAGTTTTAGTGGCACCATCTATCCTAGGTCCTCAAAATCGTCAGCTCTATCTGCTGCCGCAAACAGCCGCCAGAAGCCAGAGGGGGAGGGGGACAGAGCCGGACGGGTATGGCCGGACCCGGTTGAGACTTTCCTCCTTTCACCATATTGTTCGCGTTGCGCCCGCCAACACGTGGTCACGCGGTCGCGAGCGGATGAGTTCTCGCTGCTCACTGATGGCTCTAGAGAGGGAGCTTCACCGGAACCCCGCATAACCCCCATTGACATTGCAACGCACGTGACTCTGAAGGAGTTGAGAGGTGACGAACACCTCAATCTTTGTCCATTTTTAAAATAAAAACTAGAACATGCAGGCAAAAGCGGTTTTTGTTCTTTACTTCAGAAATGCCGAGACACTAACTCCCAAATTATTTAAGCAAAGCACTGAAACTGTTGCACAGCTCCTTTAAGACTACCTCTGCGACCTGAAAGTCTGTACTATTTGTGACATCACACCACTGGGAAGCGTGCGGAAATTCAAATGTTGGTTTCAGCATCATCCTCATTTGCGGTTTTTTCAGTAGCCCTTTTGAATTTCAAGACAATAGGTGGCATACCGTGAAGACTAAAGTCCGGGTATTTAGAAAATGCAATTTGAGTAGCTCACAAAATGGCTGGAGTACCCATTTAAAGGGGAACACTGCTCTTGGGAGTTTTCCTGCTTATTATTTGGCCAAATGCTATGAAACAAAAGAAATTTGTTCAGGCTTTTGTGCTGATTTCAGATATCTTATTTCATTAATTAGTATAGTATTTTAGTTCTTAGAATAATTTTAATTTACCAATTTTGTTTCTAAAAACAACAGTGAAAACCACTGACCAAACAACAGTGTTGTTTGGTCAGAGGTTACGTTGGTTGAAAGTGGCATTCTTTGGGGTTCTCACCCTCTCCCCCCTTTTTGCTTTTGTATCGAAGTGCCTATATAACCAGGTTTGGAAAATAAAAATTTCAGCTGTGTTAGAGGCTTTTTAGTGTTGTGTCGTTTACCCGCAGTCTCGGGTTTTTTTTCAACCAAGTGAAAACCATTTTAAAAATTAAAGGATGTTTTCACGTAATACTAAAAATTACAAAGAAAACAATGTTGGAAGCACTTTTTAGACTGAACCATTATTAATGACTTTACAACACATTGAAGTTCAAGCTGTGTTAGAGACTTTTTAGTGTTGTGTCGTTTACCCGCAGTCTCAGGGTTTTTTCAACCAAGTGAAAACCATTTTAAAAATTGAAGGATGTTTTCACGTAATACTAAAAATTACAAAGAAAACAATGTTGGAAGCACTTTTTAGATTGAACCATTATTAATGACTTTACAACACATTGAAGTTCAATGCTCAACGAGTGGCTATGCCAAGCATTAAAACAATAGTTCACTTAAACATTTTCCTATACCTATATTGACTAATCTGCTTCCAACATTGTATGCTTTGCACATTTAACTACGTGTTGCTAAAAAAGTTACATTTCTGTTCGCCCTAGACGCCGAGATATCCCTCCTGAAAATTTGTGAGGAGTCAGAAATTTGTGTTTTGAGAAAGTGTTGTATTATGGCTCAAATACTGTGAACGACTTAATTTTCGCAAGTTTTGCGAATCGCCTACAATTTGCGAAAATTAGGTCCCACAAACAATTCCGGTAAAATGTAAACACATTGGAATCTAGTAAGTTGAGATCCCACCGCGTTGCGAAAATGAGAGCCCTTATATTATTCCAAAACTTCAGCTTTGACCTAAATTGTGAAATATTGAGCCCGCGAAAAATATGTAGTTTACAGTATTAATATTCAAAATAGGGAACTTGGCAGATAAAAAAAAATAGCTGTATATTTCAAAATTGCCATTTTCCCAACAAACGGTTTTTTAGGGTTTTTTTTGGCTCCTACGGCCCTTGTCTCTCCTTAATGTCTGCAATGCAATGCAAGCTCTACACGGAGCAAGTTTTCTCGACATTTGAATTGCAACTACTGCAACGTTTGTTCCACATGTTCACATGCGGCGACCACAGCACTAGAAATGCAGAATCCTCTCGCACAATTTAGACACAAACCTGCGTAGCCACCTTTAAGCAGCACTGTAAGTGTTGACTGAAGGAAATAGCCGAAGACAGTGATTAAACTGGAAACCAGAACATAGTCAGATACTCAGTTATCATTGACACCACTACCCGAGGTCACTCAAAAAAGTCGCATCATTGATGAACGAGTTTTTCTTGCTCCCCCGAGAGTTCCCGAGTTGCATTAACCGAGTCATTGATGCCATTGATTGATTGATTAATTGAACTCTTAGCGATCCCAGCAATTCACATTGCAGCCACCGACCACTCATCAGCAGCCCCAGAGCTGCAGAAAAAAGTGCTCCGTGTAAAGCGGGTCCAAGCAATTAAAGCTCCACTCGAGGGGCAGAAGAAGAGGCTAAAGATTGCCCTAGAGATCACCCTCTTAAGGTGACTCCTGGGGCTCCCAAGTTGAACATTCGGCGAGAAAGTTGGCAACATCGCTGACCGGCGTGGCACTGGCCAATCGCAGCGGTCAGCGATCTCGCCAATATTTTTGCCAAATGTCCAGCTTAGAGCCTCTGGAGGTTGTCTTCAAGAAAAGGCCAGTTCACATACACATTCCAGTGCTTATATAGCACTAAGTTGTTGCTGCATCGGCGCTACTGTCAGCACGGACTCGGTGCTCAGTTAGCACGGCACTGTGTGTGTGAACACCTCAAGACAAAAAAAAAAAAAAAAAAAAAGAATAAATTTCTTAAGCATTTTTTTTTTGTCCATTGGTTTGCAGGACTGGAGCATGTCTGAAATAGAGAACAGGATCAGCTTACTGCAGACTCGACTCAGGGAAAAAGTGCAAGACGCTTCTGAGCCGTCGACGTCATCAATGGCCCTCTAGCTCCGTCAAGGGCTACAGAAATGTACAGAAGCCATCATCATGCCATTACTTCAACTACTGAAAAGACAATGCAGTAAACTATGTACGGTGATCTTCAAACTTATCCGGAATGCACACCGGTGTCTATTTCATGGGAGACTATCCTAGTGGCAGCTGAAGCAGTGCTGCATGACTTGACGCTCAACAGAACAGTCCGAGCAGGGCGAGGCCGCTTGCTCAAGGCCGACACCAATTTTGCCTGCAAGCAGGGGCAGATCCAGAGGAGTCTCCAAGGAAGGCCCCAGGATTAGAAAAAAAAAGAGGGAGGGGGGGGCACGGAGGGAATACTTGCTGCACACCTCATTACCTGTTGGATATTTGTTTAAGGGGGACACTACCCAGAAAAAAAAATTTTTCTGCAAAAAAAGTTGATTTTAAAAAATGTCAAATTTACATCCACCAGCACCTGGAGAGTATTTCCAGAAAGTTTCTTTAGTTTACACTGCATAGTTAATTTTTTATAAATTATTTTCGGTCTATTAAAGCTAAAGAAAAGGTAGGGGTTGGAACGCTTTGAACACATTTTGGCATAAATTTCATTTTAGGAAAAGTTTTTTTAATGGGACAAGAGGAAAGACTCACAGATTGTTTTTCCTAAGTGGAATTTTATGGGCAGTGCAACTATGGAATTGTTTTTGACTTTGTGGATGTCTTTTATAAAAGATGGTAAGATTTTGTGGATGACATGAATGGCAAAGAAATTTTGATTTTTCACTGCAATGTTAGCATAAAGTAAATTACTTTTTGGAAATTTTCTTTTCACAGCTGCACTCTCCAGGCATTCTGCTGCAGATCTAGAGTGGAAAAATGTTCGGTATCACATTAGTTTCCTAACGATAGTTTTCCTAAACAAAGTCGGTGTGTTCCTGATAAAAATGACTACAAGTTATTTTACAACTCCTGTACACTGATGAAACTTTGCACTGCATTCTGTCTTGCAACTTCCAGTATATACTCTAAATTTCATTCATATTAAGCCATAGGTTTAGAAGTTAATCCTCTTGGGTAGTGTCCCCCCTTAAGTGCCTATATAAATAGTATAGTAGAGAGAGGTTTTCCCTTTTCAGCAACACCATTGTCACAATTCAGGACATGATTGCTATATCTCTTGCTTCGAAGCGGGGAATAACAAAATCTTGATTTAGTTCTGTGCCCACTTCGCACGACCTAAGACTATGATTTAGGTTTTTCGGTAAATCCCTATAAACCACAAAAATTAACCCCCTGGTCGGTTTTATCAAAATCGGCCCTTAAAGGGGCGATGCAACGATTTTCGTATTTTGCGCAAATACCGCTTAGAACGGATCCCTGACGTTAATGACCTGTGAAATACCCGTTCATTTTTTACCACGCGCAATCGAAGTCGCAGAAAAAAATAAAGAAAAACGAGTAGAGTTCTCCCCCTCAACTCGCAGCCAGAACAAGCGGCCACGTGATCTGTAGCCGATTATATGCCGCCAATGTTGATCATAGCCACGCGCTGGGGTTGGCAAGGCACAGGACACGCGCTGCGTTCCAGACATTGTTATGGGTCGGCTGTTGTCGTCATTGCAGCGGTTGGACACAGGACACCACCCGAATGCTTCTCAAGCTATAGATTATCACGAGCCCAAATCGAGTGCCCACGCAATGCTCGGGTCCAATCTATGAGCCGCATTCAAATATCGTCACTGGGCGGTACTGCTACCGCCCAGCTACGTCATCAGGTTTTGAGAAGTCGAGATTGAATGAAAACGCTCAGTTTTGTCCTCGAAATTACAGCACAACAAAGGAGTTTCTAAGTCAGTGGCGTTGCGTGCGAGTATCCTTGAGTCCCACTAGTGCCATTAAGCTCGTGTAAAGTGAAAAACATTCCAATTGAATATCGTTGCATCGCCCCTTTAAATAGGAAAAACCAAACCTTCGCGGGAAGCAAATCTTCATCTAGTTTTATTTTGGCACTAAACACTGCCTCCAATGAACCTGTCCACGAGGCTGGTTTTTGCTCTGGATCCCCACATCTCGTTTCTTTCCCTCGTCGGTACGGGGATGTATTTCGATTATCCGGGTCACGCGAATGTTCCGCGGAGATTGGGGAATCACATGCCCCATTTTCTTGAACATGATATCTGATAACCTCAGTTTTTTCGTCCAACACCAAAAGTAGTCATCGAAGAACACCGACTCTGCAGGAAAAAGTAAACCCCGAAAAAGCATCCACGCATTCTAAGAAAAACCCCCAAAACGCGAAGAAAGCATGAAACCTTACCAAACCTCTGAGCTAGGCAGCACCAACGTGTGGAGACTCGCTCAAAGCAATGAAAGCTCTAGCTAGCTATACCTGTTTTCACCTCAAGAACCGAAGTAAAACAAGTGCGGCTTCACGCGGAGCATTACTTATTTCCCCCTTTATGTGGTTAATTAAGATATATGTAGGTGAATTTTAGATTAGATACATGTTATCTTATCGAGACATACACGTTCTAAACGCTAAAAGCATCGCTTTTTCTTCCGACAACCAAATCTCGAAAGAACTACTTCGCGCCGCGTATGAATAATGCGCAAAACTTCCTTTTTTCTTGAGGTGAAAACGGGTACAGACGGCACTCTGGGAGTTAACCAGGCTGACCAGCGAAAAAGTTGCAGTTCATCAGTACTTACACTGAAAAAGAAAGGGGATAGGATTCCCTTACCTCCAATGGAGCATGCGCGTGAATCCCGTACTGGTGAAAGAAAGGCGATAAGGAGTCTGAAGGAAGCAGCAGCCTCGCGGACAGTTCAGTGCGAGCGGTGTTCCCGTTCAAAACAAAATAAAGCTGCGATACAGGTTTTCTCCCGTGAATCTTGGGTTTCAGACGTTTAGATTTTTTTCGTTTTCTTTGATTTTGATAAAACCAGATTGGAGGTCAATTTTTGGGTTTTTTAGTATATACCAGAAAGATGGAATCCTACTCATGTGCAAGAGAACCCCTTTCATCGGCGTCGAGTTCAACTAGACACAGTTTCTTTCTGGTCCTCCTAATAAATTTTGGATTTCGATTTTGCCACAAGAAATTTTTGCGTCTGCTATTATGTGACGAAACATTCGCCAAAAAGCTCCACACCAGATTGCGTGGTACAATAAGGCCTACGAAATAATATTTTATCAAATTATGTCCCGAATACCCTTTTAGCCTGACTCTGTTGTTTTAACATATAACCAGAAAAACAAGCACTAAATAAGTTAAGGGCAATAAAAAAAAGGCTTACCATTTACGCTGCGCTGCATGTGATGTATCTGATAAGGCCCGAACGGGCAAGCAAGGCTTGGTCGGCTCAGACACCATACAGAAACAAACTCTAATCACAAATCCCGGGTCAATTGCTCGTTGCCATTTAGTGTGGCCATAGAGTGTAGACTTGACTACCTTCGTCTAAACCTGAAGAGATCGGAGTGACAGCCAGTAACACCGAGATTGTTCACAATAATGCTGGCTCCTCTCTTTCTGCCTCTCTGGATGAATTCTTCGGAACAGCAACAAAAGGTTTTCGAAGTTGGTTATCCGTAGCCTTTCCCACTTAGAAGTGCTAATGGAAGCTCGAAGCCTGGACAGGGTGCTGGGAAGGAAAGTAACGACCCTCAAAGACCAGTCACCCTGACGCCTGCAGAACGGTGCCGTATCTCTGTCGTGCTCGGATCTGCTATTATTTTCGACATTCTGCTCTTTAAGGGGGGACACTACCCAAAAAAGTAAATTTTTTAACCACTTGTCTGATTTAAATGACATTTACAGGGCTTGTTGCCGTTCATGTTGAGAAAATTTCTGCCAAAGTTTGTTACCCTGGGTGAAGTACAAAAAGAATTGCAAATGTTTGAAGATGAAAGTGGGCGTGTCTGCATAGGAAAACTATCGTTTTGAAAATACTTATAAATTTGTCGTTTTCATGTGTTATATTGCTTTAGGACAGTCCAGAGCAGATAGCTATGGAGCTATATTTCTATATTATACCACCTTTAATGACAAAAAAGCCACATAAACTCAAATACTGTTTTTTAGATTTCCATTCTTTGTCCAAAATTTTCATTCTTGAGCATGAAAAATGACAAAAATAAAAAATACAAGCTCATAGCTATCTTCCCCTTTAAATTTCTCTCTAGAATAACTCATAAAAATGAATCCAAGTTACGTAATAACAAAACAATAGTTTTCCTAAAGGTAAAATCATGCCAAAAAGTGGAACGGAGAAAAATGCATTCAAAGTGTTCCAACCCCTGCCTTTTCTTTAGCATTGGAGGACCGAAAATAATTTATAAAAAATTAACTATGCAGTGTAAACTAATGAAACTTTCTGGGAATACTCTCTAGGTGTTGGTGGATGTAAATATGACATTTTTAAAATCAACTTTTTTTGCCGAATTTGTTTTTTCTGGGTAGTGTCCCCCCTTAAGAATGGCGACGTTTAATCCCCTCAAGCCTGCCGAAGCCTTCCGAGGATACGGTGAAGGTCTCTACTCTTAATAAAGCCCATTGTCAAATGGAAACAAGCTCGTTTTTTTTTGTTTTTCTACACCACATCGTCACGAGGATGCAGCTGCACTTTGACATTTGGGGCCCCTGCTTATCATCTTAACTGGCAAGTCGCAGGAAACGACACCACTACATGGTTTGGACAAACTTCTCGGAGGTTTGACTGTAAAATGTTCAAAATTTTAACTTTGAAAGTTCGAATTTCCTGTGCTCCAATACAAATGTTTTTGAATCCATCAAAGTTTCGCGCCAGGTCCTGGTTTGCGCAGTATAGTCAAACAAGGGGTGGTGGGTGCTGATATGTCTTGGGAGGATTTCAAGCCCCCCCTCCCCTCCCCTGCCCTCCCCCTCCCCCCCCCCCCCCAAACCTGGATCTGCCACTGCCTGCACGACAATCTGGGCTTTTGCCTCGTTCAGTACGAAGTAAACATCAAATGCTTACTGATTGAATCATCCAATCACCGTTTGTTTTGACGGTGACCTATGCATATTCGTGCGACAAGGGGTCAAAAAGTACAGATTGACCAGCAGGCAAAATTGCTGCAAGGTCCAAGGTCCAGAGAGCAGCCTTCCCTGCTCGAGCCATTCCATTGAGCGTTATGTCATGGAGCAGTTTCGCCGCTGCTACCAGGATAGCGCTCCCGCAAGATGAGACGCCGTTCGCGTATTCCGGGTGCAAGTTTGGCCAGCGCTGTATGTCATTACACGACTCTGGAGATACTTGGGGACTTGTTTATTAGTACACAATTATCAAACAATAAAAAAGAAAGTAACAAGTGTAGACAGTATATATATATGTATATATAGTGGTCCAGAAAAAAAAGGGTGGAAAGATTGGTTCTTTGGAGGAGACCGACTGGAACACTTTTTTGAACATTCCATGAACATGGCTGTTTCATGCGCTTTCTTTTTTCTACTGTTCCTTGCATTGAAGTTCCAGATATGTACACTGCAAACTCCTGCGGGGACTACTACTATGCACCCTTACATCTGAACAGCTTCAGCTATCTAAATAAGTCTTAAAGGAAGTGTCTGACGAGAGGCTAAAACGTGCTTGGCTCACCGAACCCGACTACTACGACATCAACAAAGGCACGAAACACAATGTTACGAATAGGTTGATGCCAGTTATGACCTTCGATAGCCAGGTGATCTACTCTGCCATTAGTTCACTGCCTCTGGCACATTGGTGGCATGTACAGCTCCAGTTATTTAAAAGCATTGCGCGAACGTCGACTTGCAGGCTGGTCGGCCCCGTACCATTGAGCAGCGCAGCGCTGTGTGCGAGAAAAAGTGTGTGCACTTAATGCACATTGAAGTGCAAGTGTCGTCTGTTAGGCTCATCTGCTAACTGCACACGGCGCCTGCTTTTTACCTGTCAGTAGAGCTGTCCGCCATGAATGCCGTGTGCAGTCAGCAGAAGAGCCTAGCAGACGACGTTTGTACATAAATCTGCTTTGTCCGCGCACGCTTATTTTTTCTCGTATTGCCGCGGCGACTCCGTGACACGGTGTTGACAGGCCTGTGGGTCGACGCTTTCACAATATTAAAAATTTGGAGAGCTGTACACAATCGAAGCTTGTGCAAAGCACCATTCAAGACAATGAGCTCTGCTGCAGAAAAGATCTTAGACACACCATCATTCTAAATCTGCTAAGAACTATCCGTGTCGACTAAAGTTCTGGCTCAAATCCACAACAGCAGTTTTAGCCTTCGGGAATCACCGCCATACTTTAAAAGCGAGCACTTTTGTTTGTGTATTTACGCTAAACATTAAGAAATCCCCAAAAGTAACGTAAAAAATTTTAAGAGATGATTGGCCGTCGGTTTTTGCGAGGTTCCGTTACCAGTTTAAAGTTCGTCGAAGGACGTATACCGGTTTAGACCTATGGAGAGATAGAGAGGGTACCAGTGTGGCTTGTTTAGTGAATCCGCAAACTATTAAAAAGAACCACTAGTGATTGTGCGCATCCGACCAGCAGATGACTTTGTTGCTTGTTCTAGTGTTGCTAGCTCATCCCTGTAGCTGGCTGCGGGGCAACCGTTTTCTGTCTGACACAAGCACCTCGCACGAGCCCTGTTGCCAGGTGTGCCGACCCTCGTTCCGCAAGTAACACAGAAGATGTGGATGTCCAGAACGACGTTTCCTTCCAAGGCTCTCCCATTTCTCCAGTTTGAACACATCTGTACTGGAAAAAAAGACAAAGAAAAAATCTGGGTTAATTATTTTATTTATTTTATAGCATTTGTATCAGTACAATGTCCCCCCCATAGTCTTCATATTTCTTTTCTCTCTACATAAGTAGGCATATATATAAAAAGCTATACCAAGTGAATGAAAGTATGGCAAACTAAAACTTCCAAGTGCACTCTTTTATTCAATTAAGTAGGTAGTAGACTGAGCTTCATGACATTCGAAGGTATCCCTGGTGATGCTATTTGTTCCACTTTATCTTTGGTGAAATACAATTAGTAGCAAAAATTTGGAGAAATAAATGAAGTGCTGCAGAGTACTCCCAAAACCAAGGCGATTTTAGAAGAATAAAATAATGGCATCAATGACCAAAGAAAGTCTGGCTACAAGGTATGTACAAGCTAGCTGGTTGACGAGCATCTTGGTTTAAAACTGTGCGACAAGACGAGGACAAAGTAAGGACGAGACAACACTGTCGTCTGTCTCGTCTGTCTTGTCGTGCTGTTTTAAAGAAGTCTGGCACCAGAACTATGAGGGTTTTGTTTGTCAAAACGCATTTTATGTAAATCTGGAATGTTTTGAACTGCTATTAATCTGAGTGTCTTCGGCTATCTAAAAACAAGCGACTATCAGCAGCAGGTGATAAACTAGCATTATAAATCGCATGCATATTGGATCGCCGACATAAAGAAAAGTCTCGCCCTGTTGACTTCTGTATATTTACTTGGCAAATTTTAAGTTTTTCAGTACTTGATAGCCTTGCCAGCGCTCTGTCTTTCCTCATCTGGTCCCTTGTCCCGTTTTAAATCTCAAGTATGTCGTAACAGCTCGCCCAGGCTTCAACTTTAGCTGTTTATAGCAGATTGACAAAGTCTTTGCCGTAATTCTTGAGCCATAAGACGTTGCGCAAGCTCTTCCTCACAGTGCCCAAGAGCTTACGTCGTCAAAGCGAGCAACAAAGAACCGGCCAGTTACGCCGACGTTGCTCACCCGCGTCTCTGGCGTCTACCCCGTGAAGTTGCTGAAGTCTGTCTTGAGCTTGATGCTGGGTGTGCCGTGATTGGCCGGGACGGCCACCTTGGGGGCCTGGCTCCTCCTCCCTTCTTCGTCGCTTGACCGAACGCTACTCTCTATCTTGCCCTTGAGCTGAGGCAATTGCGCCATGACGGAGCGAAATTCCTGTGGCGAGGATAGTTGCAGAAATATTTGAGTACAAGTCCCGGAATAATGTGCCGGTTAGCCTGACGATTCGGTCAGAATATTTCTATGAGCGGGCAAGTAGAGGTTATGAACACAACTTTCACTTAAATCCAAACGTAGGAATCTTAAGGAAAGCATATATCCACCCAAAAACATAAAGACTTCCATTCCAAGAAAGAAAATATTATGATTCTATGGCTGTAACATTTAGCTGAGGTATTCCAAGCCAAACCAGGTTCTAACACAACATGATGATTCCTTGGCTGCTAATCGATTTAAAGTTTAAACAGAATGAATCGACTGTATCAGCGCCAGTGTTCGCTAAACAGGACAGGGAAGAGATGTGCCCTTGACGTTTCCGTCTGCCGCACTGGTCGCCTAAGCGGAACCCCTCACTGTAGAGGGCGTGTAGGCACAGTGAGCTACGGGGAGCCCTCTAGAGTGTACATAAAAAGGGTGTGTGTGAATAAACGGGGGGCTTTTTCCGTCCGAGCACTGGGAGCGTCAGCTGTGTCACTCTTTCCTCCGCGGCCCTCGGCTCTGGCCGTCACCTCGGCCGCCTCGGCTCGAACCCGCCCACTACATGGTGTCAGAAGTGGGATGCCCTGTTCCCAAGGTTCGACATGGCTGCTAAGGACGCTCCGGTTCCTGCCCTTGCTGCCGCCAGTCTCCGGAGTCCGGCCCCGTTCTCCTTCGACGATGCCGGCGAGTGGCTTCCGTGGTTGCAGCAATTCGAAGACTACGCCTTCGCCACCGGCATGCACGTGGCGCCGGACGAGACACGAGTCAGGACCCTCCTCTATTGCATGGGTCCACGGGCACGCATTGTCCTCAGTTCGCTGATGTCCGACGAAGAGGCCTACCAGTCCTACGCAGAAGTCACCCGCCGGCTCACAAGCTACTTCATGCACCCCATAAACGAGGCGTACGAGAGCTCCCGGTTCCACAAGCGGACGCAACAGCCAGGCGAGACCGTCGACAGCTTCTTCACGACCCTTCGGAACATGGTGCGCAAGTGTAACTATCCGTCACCATCTGTTGAAGACCGTCTTGTTCGCGACTGTTTCGTCGTGGGTTTGGGGGATTCTCGTCTCTCGGACAAGCTGTGCCGCACACCGAGCCTCTCCCTGGACGACGCACTGGTGCAAGCCCGTCAGCACGAAGACGCCGAGCGGGAGAGGCAACGCCTGTCCCTCACAGCTGGTCAACCGACAGCGCACGTGGACGCGGCAACTTCGCGTAAACCCGTGCAGCGTGCACACGGACGGGACATCAGACGGGACTCTGGCAACTCTGCGTCACGTGACAGGCCCGAAAGTTCTTGAACCAGCAATGTTCGATATAGGAGGCTGTTCGAGAAGTTTCTAGAAGCAGCCAAAGTGTGCAGTGCCTCTTCTGCGGTCATGAGTATCACCGACGGTCGGACTGTCCAGCTGCGAAAGCGGTCTGTTACCACTGCAAGAAGCGAGGTCACTTTTCGTCAGTGTGCCGCTCAAAGAAGCGCCTCGGTTCCGTGAAGCTCCACTCCGTTGCAGCGGTAACTCGGAACGGGCGCCCTCTCGTCTTCAAGCTGGACTCTGGCGCCGACGTTTCGGTGGTTCCAATCTCGTTTCCTGGCTGCCCAGTTGTCCTCGACAAGTCACGTGGCGAGGAACTTTTCGGACCGGGGAAACAACCCTTGAAGGTTCTCGGCACCTTCTCTGCGGCGCTCTCTTGGCGAGGCAGACACGTCAACGAGCGGCTCTACGTCGTTGCTGGACAGGAGCTGCCCCTTCTCGGCTATCCCGCTATCGTCGCCCTTGGCGTTGTCAAGTTTGTCGGCGCAGTCACGGCGGCCCAGACCGCTGCTCTCCCGGACACACCACCTCGGAAAGTCTCTCCAGCCCTTTTCGCCGGCCTGGGCACGTTTCCGGACGAGCACACGATCCGCATCAAGCCGGACGCGGTACCGTATTCCCTCAGCACAGCCCGGCGTATCCCGATACCCCTATGAGACGTAGTCAAGGAGGACCTCGACAAGATGGAGCAGGAGGGCGTGATCCGGCGCGTCGACGAACCGACGGACTGGTGTGCCGGCCTTGTCGTCGTTCCAAAGCCAGCGGGGGGTTACCGGCTTTGCGTTGACTTGACCAAGCTCAACCAAGTTGTTCTGCGTGAATGCCACATACTCCCGACCGTCGACCAAACCCTCGGACTTCTCGGCGATGCCTGCGTTTTTTCAAAGTTAGACGGAACTGCAGGCTTCCATCAAGTATGTTTGGCCCGGGACTCCCAGAAGTATACGACCTTCATCACTCCCTTTGGCAGGTACTGCTATTGCCGCCTCCCATTCGGCATTACGTCGGCCCCGGAATATTTCCAGCGTCAGATGTCTCGCCTGCTGGAAGGGTTGGCCGGCGTCGTTAACCTCATGGACGACATCCTCGTGTTTGGTCGCACCATGGAAGAGCACGACCAGCGCCTCCAAGCAGTCCTCGGTCGCCTCCAACAAGTGGGGATCACCCTCAACGCCGCCAAGTGCAGTTTCGGCGTGTCAAGCGTGAAGTTCCTTGGTGTCGTCATCGGAGCCAACGGCATTGCTCCTGATCCAGACAAGGTGGCGGCCATTCAGTGTATGCCAGCTACTTGGGATATTCATGGTGTCCAACGCTTTCTGGGTATGCTCAACCATGTCGGTCGCTTCCTCCCGGATCTCCCTCAAACGACTGCACTGATCCGAAGCCTCCTGAACAAGACTGCAGCCTGGACGTGGGGACCAGCACAAGCCTCAGCATTTGAGAAGCTTAAGACAATGCTGTCCTCGGACATCTGCCTCGCAAGGTACAACCCTGCACTTCCGACGACCGTCTCCGCAGATGCCAGTTCCTTCGGGCTGAGTACAGTGCTTCTTCAAGATCAGCCATCAGGGTATCGCAGACCAGTTGCATACGCCTCCCGTGCACTGACAGAAACGGAACAAAGGTACAGCCAGATCGAAAAAGAGGCACTGGCTGCCACCTGGGCCATTAACTGCTTCGACGAGTTTCTGCGGGGCCTTCGTTTCACCCTGGAGACTGACCATCAGCCGTTGGTCAAGCTTCTTGGAACCGCGGACCTTGACCTCATGCCACCCCGGATCCAGCGCTTTCGTATCCGTGTCCTCCAGTACCAGTTTGATGTCAAGTATGTGCCTGGGAAACAGTTGGCTACCGCGGATGCACTCTCGCGGGACCCGGTCGACCAGCTGCCAACGACTCCAGCCATCGACAAGGTTGAGCTGTACGTCCAAGAAGCGCTCCGCGCTATCCCTCCCATGTTTGCGGTCCTCCTCGACGACTTCTGTGCCCACCAGGCTGCGGATTGGGAGTGCGCTCAGATGAGGGCGTACTGCGAGCAAGGGTGGCCTCGGAAAGAAAGCCTGCCTGTTAGCATGGCTCAGTTTTGGGGCCATCGCGCTGAACTCAGTGTCGGCGACGACCTCCTCCTCTGCGGGGGACGTCTACTGGTGCCTGCTTCTCTGCGGAAACACGTCCTGTCCCTCATCCACGACGGACACCTGGGAGTGAACCGCTGCCACGCCATCGCCAGAGAGGCTGTCTGGTGGCCGACCATGGGGAGCCAGATAAAGGCAATGGTGGAGAACTGTCCCAACTGCGCCACCACGCGGGTCCAGCAAGCAGAGCCACTGCTCCCTACGGTGACGCCTAGCCGCCCCTGAGAGAGAGTCGGTGTGGACATTTTTCATCACGAAGGTACAGACTACCTTCTCCTCGTTGATTACAACTCAAGGTACCCAGAAGTGCTGTCCCTCCGCACGACGACATCCACTGTGGTGATCTCCATTATCAAAAGTGTCTTCGCAAGACATGGTATCCCGGAGACCCTTGTCAGCGATAATGGACCTCAGTTTTCATCAGCAGAGTTCCGTGCCTTCTCCCAGAGCTACGGCTTCTCCGTCACCAGCAGTCCCAGGTATCCCCAGCCCAACGGTGAAGTCGAGCGGATGGTGCGGACTGTCAAGGAACTTTTCAAGAAGTCTCCAGACTGGCCCTTGACTTTCTTGTCCTACCGTAACGCACCGGGGGTGACTGGGTACAGCCCCGCTCAGCTGCTCATGGGGCGCAGCCTTTGGACCCGCCTCCCAGTTCCAACCGCCATGTTGGTTCCAGGATCACCTGTCAGGGCTGATTTCCACAGGCGTGACACTGCCCAACGACGTCGCCAGCGTCAGGATTTCAACCGCCGGCATGCTGCGCATGCTTTGCGTCCCTTAGGGGAGGGGGAGAGAGTCTGGATACGCAACGCAGATTGTGCTGGCACAGTCCTTAGCCCAGCACAGCGTCCACGCTTTTACGTGGTCCAGACGGATGCAGGTGCCCTCGTCTGCAACCGAAGACATCTGGTACCGCAGCAGTCTCCAGCAACGAGTGGCTGCGACCTCAGCAGCTCTGGTCCAGGGCCGCAGGAATCCCAAGGTCCACCACGATCTCCACTTCACCCAGAGCCTGCGTGCGGCAGTCCCACTCCCAGGGCAGCTAGTCCTCTACCAGTTGCATCGCCAGAGGGTCCCCTGCTGCTCCCTCAAGACTGCCTGCGTCGGGTGTGCGCACTAGGTCTGGACGCTGCGTTAGGCCACCGGTGCGGCTGAACTTGTAGTGCACCATGTGGCTTAGGTCATTCATTACGTTCCTTGGGAGCTAAGTGTGGCTCTCGTTTGTTTTCCCTAAAGGGGGGATGGAGAGGGCGTGTAGGCGCAGTGAGCTACGGGGCGCCCTCTAGAGTTTACATAAAAAGGGTGTGTGTGAATAAACGGGGGCTTTTTCCGTCCGAGCACTGGGAGCGTCAGCTGTGTCACTCTTTCCTCCGCGGCCCTCGGCTCTGGCCGTCACCTCGGCCGCCTCGGCTCGAACCCGCCCACTACACCCACCTTCTGGATACCTAGCACAGGTTTTCATTTTAGTGGTCGCTGCTAGTTTTTGTATGTTTTATTTTGTGAGGGT